TTCCATCTGGAGAGGGAAACCTCTCTGTCATTTCCTTGCTGCACAGAGGCAGCACTGGTCAGTTGGGGGGGAGAGGTAGAAATATTCGAGGTACTTCCACTTTTGCCAGGGGTCCTGCACCCCTAACCCCCATAAACATGGAGAGCCAACTATATATGATCTGACTTACATACAAATTCAATTTAAATAAATTTCCATTTTACAAATTTTGCTTGTAATCCAGGGACTGCCTGTTTGGCAGCCAACTGCCTTTTAGGATGGGGTAGCCACATTTCTAGGTGGGGCATTTCTGGAGGGAGGCACAAAGCTCCAACCAAGCCATACACACTCCACAAGTGGAGAGGATGTGAGGGTCAGGCCAGGAGAAGGCTGAACTTTCCTTCCACTCCTCCCCTATGCAGAGAGCAGGTTAACTTATGTAATAGGCTATGTCGAATCAATGGATCAAGTCAATGAGAAAGTTAGTATGAACATCAGAAATTAAACGACTGCTGTATTTTTACTGTAGACAAAGGGATTATGATGATGATGATTTATTTTCTCTATTACCCTACAGGGAAAGCTCTCTAGGTGGCTTACAACAGTACATAAAACAGTACAATAAATAGAATAAAAAGGTCACTATGTCTTACCAAAAGAAATGTTTAAAAAAAGACTGCTAAAAACAGACAGTGAAGAATAACCCCATTAATGAAAACACTCTTGGAATGGGCAATTCACTCAAGCCCCTGGATAACCAAGTTCATCCTCAAAAGCCTTGGCATGAAGGGCTGTTGTAACCCGGTGCCGAAAAGATGACAAGGGTGGTACCAGGCAGCCTGCGATGGGGAGTCAATCTATGGACGCAAAAAGGTGTAAAATACACAAATAGTTTGTGCTAGAACTAAGAAGGGAAAAACCAGTGCGGAACTTGTTTTCTCAAGCAGTCAATTTTTACATAGCTCAGCAACACCTGCAGCGAAAAACGGGCCTAGAAACAGAGGTGGGGCATAGTCTAGGGCAACCGCAGCCAGATCCTGCAGAGAGAGCAGTACTGCGAACACTGCACCACTTTCTTCTGCCACAAGCCCTGGAACGGCCTCAGGCCGAGCTGCACACGTGGGAAAATCAGAAATGAGGGCCCAGTTAGGCCTAATGAGGCAGAACGGTCAGTTAGTTAGCCAACCGCAGTGAGAGCCTCAGTGCTTCTGGTCCTCTAGGGCTGTGTTCATCCCTGGGCATTAAGTGCTCAAACGAAGAAAAAGCTGCTGTGATTGTGCGTATGGTGAGTGCTTTAAAAGAGTAAAGGACCCCTTAGGATAGATATTTCTGCAGATCACTTTAAGCTGTCGCTTTTATTTCCTTTTTAACTAACCCTGCTGTACTCCTCATAGTCAGTGCAAAATAAACAAGACCACACTTCTTACCTCAGACAGTCAAACTTGCTTCTGAAACTAAAAAGCAAAGGAAAGTCCAAGGTGTGAAGTATAATTTTTGACCATAATCCAAAGTCTTAATATTAACTCTTCAAGGGTCATGGTACTGTGCAGGCTGTCTTTTCAGGAGCACTTAAGTAATTATAGGGTGACTGGGATCACAAAACATCCACCCTTGGACAGGAAAGTCTTGAGTGAGCAGATTCTGGGGGGCTGTCCCAGATGAAGCATTTGCTACGCACTCACCCAGCCTTATTCAGTGAATTTTTCTGAAGGTCCTATTCTTAAATTGCTCCTGTTCTTAAAACAAGTTGTCATTCTTTAAATAGAGGCATTGTCTGTCATGCCTCAAATTATAAAGGAAAAATAATCCCTGGAGGGCAAGGTGCAACTCTACAGGACGCGTTGCACCCATTTGCCTCACCTTGGCTTTGACAAGTCTGTTCTTTGGGAATATCACTAACAGACTGACAAGGAAGAAGGAAAAAAGCAGAGCACACCACAAAATTAAGCAGGCAATTTCAGTATGGCTGCTAATCACATAATCTTTGAATAACTCAGCAAAAGAAGTAACCAGGTGACTTCCAGTGCTGTTTTGAAGAGCTTGAAAGGAACTGTGGGACGTGACTCTCCAAAAGGAAAGACCTGGCAAGCAATAAGGAAAGGCTGTTCATCCTCCACATGTCACATGCCTTCCCCAGGCACAACATCTCTCTCCATCTTTCCATTCCCCATTTTCTTGGCCACATTGTCAAAGAGAGTGTGCATACAGACCTTGCCAGACAAATCTGCTTTCATTTTTTGACTGGGTAACCTTCATGGTGGATGGTGAGAATGCTGTGGACTTAATATTTCTTGACTTCAGCCAAGCTTCTGACAAAGTGCACCATGATATCCTGATTAGCAAACTAGCTAAAACTGGGCTAGATGAAACAACTACCCGGTGGATCTACAGTTGTCTATGGAATCAGACTCAAACAATTTTCAGCAATGGCACCATCTCAAACTAGGGGAGAGGTAACAAGTGGGGCACCACAGGATTTAGTCCTGGGCCCAGTGCTCTTCAAAATTTGTATTAATGCTTTGAATGAGGAAATCCAGGGAACGATTATCAGATCTGCAGATGACACAGAAATGTGTGGGATAGCTAATGCCCTGGAACAGAAACAAGATTCAAGATGATCTTGATAGGTTAGAGCACTGAGCTGGAAACAGCAGAAGGAACAAAGGGACAAATGTCAAGTTCTGCACCTGGGAAAAAGAAACCAAGTGCATCATTACAAGGTGGGGATTACCTGGCTCAACAGTACTGCAAGTGAGAAGGATCTTGGGATTTTTGTAGGTCAAAAGCTGAATATGAGTCAAGAATATGATGTGGCTGCAAAAAGGCAAATGCTATTTTGGGTTGCATTAATAGGGGTATCACTACGTAATCATGTGAAGTACTAGTTTCCCTTTACTCAGCACTGGTTAGGCCTCATCTGGAATACTGCATCCAGCACAGTTTAAGAAAGATGCAGACAAGCTGGAAAGGGATCAGAGGAGGGCAAGAAGGATGATCCAGGGACTGGGAACAAAGCTCAGTGAGGAGACAGGGAAAGAGCTGAGCATGTTTAGCCTGTGGAAGAGACGTCTGAGAGGAGATACAATAGCACTCTACAAGTACTTGAAAGGCTGTCACAAAGAGGAAGGCCAGGATCTCTTTTCAATCATCCCAGAGTGCAGGACACAGAATAATGGGCTCAAGTTACAGGAAGCCTGATTCCAACTGTTACAGCAGTACGAGAGTGGAAGCAATTAACTACAGGCTCTCCCACACTAGAGGCAGTCAGGATGCAACTGGACAGACATCTGAGAGGGATGGTTTACATTGGAGTCCTGCACTGATGGCCTTCCTGACCCCTTCCAGCTCTACTATTCTACGATTTTATGATTCTGCGATTCACTCCTTAATAGGTTTAAAAACTCAAGAGACTTTTTGGGGAAATTATGCATGGATTACAAAGGATGGTGTTGCTTGGCTCACCCATGAAATGTGAGTGAATGAGCCATGGTGATTCCTTCGAAAAGCCTGGAAATGCATAGACATGTAATACATGAATAAATACTGGTGGCAAGAGCTTTAAGCTAAAAGAGGCTGTTGGTTTGGCCCTCCCCTTTTTCCTTCACTCCTGCCCCTTTTGCCTTTGGTCCAGCCCAGCAGTGGAAAAGCTTTTCCAGTATGAAATTCAGCCCATGGACTGAAGGGAGTTCAACATCTTGCCTTAAAAGGCGTACATAGCATGTATCTAACTAGGCAGTCAGCTCCACAGGCAGGGCGATGTCTCTCTGGCTGGAGACCACAGCCATTGTGCCAACAGCTAAACTAGCCTTTGCCCTCAGAAGGAAGCATGCTGCAATGATTCTTCTCCTGCTTCGAGGCTATCCACGTGACTCTGAATGCTCCTGCCCCATTTTGTTTTTCACAGGGGGAAGGTGGGGCTGAGGGGACATAAAGTGGGCACTGGGTGTCCTGGATAAACCTGGCTGTGGATGCAGGCAGCCTGGGCTCCCCCACACCCCCCACTAGGTAATCCCACTCATCCACCTTCTAGAGTATGGGGTGGGGCTGTGAGCAAGACTGGAGTCCTGCTTGCAACAGCAAATGGGGAAAAGGTGGGTAAATGGGATAGTAGAAGGGATGAGGAGGAAAGGGCCAAAGTTCAGTGGCACAATGCCTCTTTTGCCCATGAAAGATCCAAAATTCAATCCCCCAGCATGTCCAGATAGGGCAAGGAAAATCTCCTGCCTGAAGCCCTGGACAGCCACCGCTGCCAGTCCATGTCACCAGCAATGGGTGAGATGGAGGAAGAGTCTAACACTGCACAGGGCAGCTTCTTTTGCTCCCATGAAGCCTGGGACTGTGCTGTCCCACAGCTGCTGAGCCAGTGGTCGCCATCTCTGAGGCAGGAGTTGTGGCAACCCTGGCCTGGCCTGGCCTGGCCGCACATGTCTTGGACTGAAAAAGTAGGAGCAACTCGGCCATACTGAGGATGTCAATAAACGTGTGTGTAGTGATGGTGGGGTATTAACTAACACTCTTCCACATAGAATCAGTTCCTTGCCTATGCTCACCTCAGGCTCCCCTTGGCCAAGATTTTGACTCTTTGAATTACTCTGCCCCGAAGTTCTGCTTTCTGAACTTCTCCGGTCTATTCCAGCTACAGCCACAACCCAGCACAGAAGCTCTCTTGAAGGTGTCTGAAGGTCACTCAGGTCCGTAAGGAGCCACATGTTCACTTGAGCGAGGATCCTCTCTGCCCCGCTCTGCCTGACGTTGTGTCTAGAGTAGCTCAGCTCCTCTCTCCTTCAGGCCACCATCCTCGCAGCTCACTGTGCCAGCACAGGACCTGGACCCCGTCTTTTGCTCACGGTGACCTGGCTGAGGCCCAGCGTCAGAGAAAGTAAGCTACTCTGGGCTTGCATTCACCCTGCAGCTGAGCGCTCCCCAGGAGGGGCAGCATCTTTACAACTGGAAGCTTGCCCTTTTTCTGCCATACTCTGATTACATGTCCTCTGCAACCCGGCCCCCCAAACGGACCATACCTTCTGCAATCTCGCTGGACATCCCAATAGCCAGACTCCGCTTCCTTGGGCTGTTCCGGAGGCAACTCAAGGGGAAAAAAATCTGTCTGGAAGAAGTTATGAGGGGCCTATGCAGATCCCTTGGGAGCGGTTGGGGAAGTAAACACAGGCTTCTGCCTGTCACATCAGCTGCTCAGGCTTAAAATAGGACTAAAGGGAGCCTAAGGAGGAGCTATAGATAGAGACAAAACAGAGGATCTGGAAAAGAGTCAGCAGGGACTATTTAAGGGTGGAACTGAGAGGGCAAGCTTGGGAGGGGCGGGGGAGGCAGAACGGGACACAACTGTTGCCGCAGAGACCAGCGTGCTAAATACAGCAAAGGTGAGATTGGGATAGAGAAGGGTATATGATGGAGGAGGACAATATTGTAGCATTTTGGGTGGAAAGTCAGTAGAAGTTGAAACTGTGGTGATATCAGATAACAGTGAATATCTAAGCTGCAATTTAAATCTCCAGAGTCTTTCCCAGATGTATATAAAGGTGATAAGCAATTGTAGCTGTGTGGAGAGCTGGTCCCAGCTATTCACTTCAGAGGACTGAGCAGGTTTGTTGACGGATGCTGGGCACTTGCTTTCTTCTTTTAGTATCAGTGCTAAAAAGGAAATAGCATTGCTATATTGTCCCAAGGGCAATATGGAGCTGGACTGCAGTCTTTCCATTATCAGGACTTGGTCCAGACATACAGTAGGCGGGTGCAAGCAGGCTGATGGAAGTAGACTTTCCAACTCCCATTTCCCCACTGCTTCTCTCCAGTCGACTGCAAACCTACAGAGAGAGTTGGGAGACCCTGATCAATGGGGTGTGCCTCGAGGGAGGGGGAAATCTCTTTAATTTTGGTGAAGGCATTTTCCATAAATGGAATGCTTCCATCTTTGGAAGGCAACTCCTGGATCCTACCCTCACTTCTTTGGGATCCAGACAAGTTGGGATGTTGAGGAGCCTCTCCCCACAAACACAACCCTCCTAAAAGAGCCAGTGAAAATATGTAATTATTGACTTCTTGAACTATTCCTTCAGGAAAGGACATCTCACAAAAAGAAGAGAATCAAAAGATGAAGCAAGGTGCAGATTGCCTCACAGAGAGCCAACTTTACATATGTCCTTGTCTGTTTTTGCACAAGTTACCAAGTTAGACCCCAGAGAAGTGATCTCGAGAAGACTTTTCCCCTTGTTTCCAATGGACAAGTGCAGAACAATTGTCCAGAAATCCACAGGCATTAGAGTTGGAGCCCTCCATCTACCAAAAGTTCATATTCTGCTCTTTGATCTTACTGTGCATATTTTGTCAGTTGGCCATGATATTTATCTGATACTGAGTATTTGCTTGACATTGAATAAATATTGATATGCAACTAATATTAAATGGACAGGAATGCAGAGCAATTTACAACTAGAAGAACACAACCAGAGCTGGGGAATTACTTGCTCTCACAGCATGGCAGTAGGCCTTTCTTCCAGTTAATGAGCCACATACCACATGCAGCTGAGCCCAGCTTGTCACATGCAAACATTCAGTCCAGTATTTCAGACATAATCAAGCAGAAAATGAGCTTTTAAACTAATGATTATTACAATCAAGGTGCACTTGCTCAATCTTAATTATAAAAAAAATAAAAACAGAGTTAAATTCTAAAAACATTTTAACAAGTCAAGGACAAGATATCAATTTAAAAATACAATTCTGAATTTTCTTGACATTTAATTCCGTACTCCACCCACCACAACTTGGCTCATAATGTATACATTTCATACAAGGATACACTAATTCTCCTGTCCACCCCCAGGAATAAGCCCCACTGAACTCTATGGAACTTACTTTCTAGTAGACATGCATAGCATCGCACCATAAGAATTAGAACAGAGACAAGGCAGGAGACAAAACCCATCCTTTTTATGTTTAGCATTTTAAAAAACACAAAGAATTGTTCCCAAGATCATTTTATTTTAGTCAAATTACATTCTTTTTTAACCCATTCATTTATCATACTGTTGTTATATCTTAATCTGGAACGTGGTGCTTTAACTGTTTGGGTACTGGATAGAAAAGCAAATTAGCAGTGAGAGGTTGTTGTTAATCTTTTGAAGAACTGCAGCAACTATTAGTAGGCTGTCAGGCTTTTGCTTTGGAGGAAACATCAAAGCCCTTCTCTAGGGGCTGATGTCACAATGACTGCTGATGATTTGTCAGTTTGACATCCAATCTTTTAATGTTCTTATTGCTACATTTATTGCTGAACAGAATTAGCTGGAACAGCTGCTGGTGGGGGACATGTTCCTACTGCTTGTGGGCTTCAGGAAGAATTTGATGGACCATCATTTAAAAAGGAAGATGGACTCTATGGCTCCTTGGTCTGGTCCACCAGAGCTCCTCTTCTCTCGATCTTGTTTGTATCAAAAAATGTAAGAATTGCTGTGTTGGATCCAACCAAAGGTGAAGATAGTGCAGCATTGGGAGCATAGTACAAAACCTCACACAGAAACAAACCACTGAGCCATTTAGGACTGACTTGCAAGGTCTCCCCAGGGCCTACTTCAAGAGAAGGTGCCAGAGGCTGCACCTTCAGCCTCTTGCATGTTCCTAGATAGAATCCTGGATACATTCTTAACAACCAGGAAGCTGTGGGGAGCATCAAAAGTGGTGTATTTATTCCATCACATCATAGAGCAACCTTCCCAAGCTTGGTGCCCTTCCAGATGTGCTGTAGTACTAAAATTCCCACCAACCCCAGCCATGCTAAGTAGAAAAATAGTGCTTTTGCTTACACCCTGCATAAGCCGCAATATTTTCTTAGGGAAGATGACCATTTTGGTGGTCATGTCTCCATCTTTTTTAAAGATTAAGAAGACTGCAACCACATTTAGATTGAGGGTTGGGAAACAGTGCTCCATGTCTAACAAATTTTATTTTAAATTAAGTTAGACTTTCTCCCCCACCCATCTGCTGAAATAGTGCAAGTAGGGAAGAAGATGGTCACTCTTGTCTGAGAATGTCATGGGCACTATCCTGTAGGTGTTCAAAGTTCCTTCTGTACCTTCCATACTGCTAGCAAGCATGAGGTATGGCCTGGTAGGAAATAGCCTGTTTTAAGCTATAAAATATTCCAGTTTGGTCTGGGAAAATGTGATGCCCCCACAATGGCAGCACAGCTGAGATTAAAAGAATCTGAAACTTTCATAACACTCGTTCAACCAAATGTGCTAAAAATAGTTCAGGAAACATCTAAGAACCTAGCATGGAGATGTCTTCAGAATGGGGCATTTTAACCTGTTTTCCCATAGGCACTGGCTACCTCTCTTTTAGAAGGCAGGAAGAATAATGCAGTGAGCACAGAAGTGATGCGGCACTCCAGGCATCCACCACCACCAAGTTGCCATATTCCCTGGGTGGGAGGCACATAGGAGGTTGCCTGATGCAGAACGAGATGGTCTATCTAGCCCAGTATTATTGACCCTACTGGCAATGGCTCACCAGGCTCCCAGGATGGAGCTCTTCCTGCCCTACCTGGAGATGCTGGGGATTGCACTTGGGTCCCTCTGCAGGCACAGCAGCTGTTCCACTGCAGAGCCATACTGGCTCAGCAGGAAAGACAAACCCGCTGAGAAAATCTCCCCGCATCTCCTCTGCCATGTCACAAGCAGATTCTGAATACCTTTATCACGGAAGCGCACAAGCTATACTCAGTGCCACAACTGTACGATTGTTAGGGTCGGCAAGTGTCTCTTTATCATACCTGATGGATTTCATCATGGGGTTCTGACAAGGTTTTATCTCCTTACTACAGAACCCTACTGCTCCATTTAACTCTAACATTTGGGGAACATGGGAAGCCACCTTCTCCCAGGACTGAGTATGTGTCCATCCATCCTGGTATTTGTCAGCTCTGATTGACCATGTGTTTGTCTGCTCTCCAGCTTTGCCAGCTACCTGATCCAGCTACCTGAGGGATGCTGGGGATCGAACCTAAGCATGGCTGAGGCACTGAGCTAAGGCTCCTCCCGGGCATGTGTGTCTCTAGAGAAGCCTTTGAGGATATTATCTGATAATAGTGATTATTTTATCTGTTATCTGTTACTGGACTGCAAAACAGAAAGTGTTGTGTGTGCTTGCTGACATCTGGATGTCATTCTGGAAACCTGACAATGGAAGGGTCACCCAGGCAAGGAGCCTTCTCTTTCTAGAAGAGAATCCGTCAAGACTGGCCTTGCTTAAAGGGCTGGATTTGTGGGGAGGGGTTCTGGAGTTCTGTCTTTTTCTCATAAATGGGAGGACAGTTGCTTGACTTTGTGCCGATCCTGTTGTCATGCAGTGCGCCATAGAGATCATAATACCACGCAGCCTTATTACACTCTGGTCCCTTGATGGATTCCATCCATGCTGGCCTCTCGCACCAGGTACCAGCCCAGCCAGGATAGCAGACACACTGGAACTGCTCCCACACAGACACGTCTGGGTCTAGAAAAGCTGTTTCCCACAGTTGTGGGTCCAGGTGAAGGAAGGCTCCCAGCTCGCCAGGGTCCCATCTCACGCAGCGTCCATTCCCATGGCACAACTGGTGGCTGCACATGCGTGCTGCTCTGGTCACGTTGATGACGTACGGCCCCAGCTTGGTGGTGATGTAATGGCGCAGGCTCCTGCAGCTCTCCTACAGGAGAGAAGGTCAGAATTTAGAACATTAAGCATGAAGAAGGGCCTGGCTGGGTCAGAACAAAGGGCCAACTAGCCAAGTATTGTGTTAGCACAGTTGCCATCAAAATGCTTTTGGGGAGCCCACAAACAGGACAAAAGGCAACGGTACCCTCCCAGTACTCAGTTTTCCGGTGCCTGGTATACAGCAGTGTTTAATAGTGCAACAAAGGCTGGCCAATGTACAGGGCCCCACAGCCTGTGGACCATGAAATGACCATCTAGAGAATAGTAGGTGATCAGGGTGTCCAGGTAGCAGAAGCACATTCCATTTTAATCCGATAGACATGGAGAAACTAAGATTTAAATATGCAAAAAATACATAGTTTTAAAATGTTGAGGGTATTTTTTAAAATTGTTATATTCAGGATTGCCAAACACTGCAGTGTGGTTGTAAAGCATGGAATGGCAGTTTGTGGAAGGAAAAAAAAAGTTAATTGTGCAAATTACAAGGCTTGTGAAGTAATGTGCAAGGCTGTCTAAAAGTACCTTCATAAGACAGGACTAAAATGGCCCGGCCGAACCACTGGGCACACGGCCTCTGATGCTGGAGAGGCTGGCTTCATCTTATAACAAGTAGCTATTTACAGTCTTGTGTTCCACAAACATGTCAAATCCCTTTTTAAAGTTGTCCAAATTAGTGGCCATTGCTACATGCAGTGCGTGAAAAAGGACTTCCTTTTACTTGCCCTGACTCTCCCAGCTAAACCTGGTTGAGTGAGGCCAGGTTCCAATATTAAGACATAGGAAGAAAACCTTTCCTCCATTTTCTCTACACTAGGTACCTACCATGTCCTTCCCGATTTATCATTTTGCTAAATGCTAAGCACAATCCTAAGCATGTTTCGACATAAAAAAGTCTTACAACTTGCAGCATTGTCAAGCTAACCATAAGTTTTTCTGTCAAAAGATATATAGGGATTCACTTTAAACTATTAGAACATCTGGGATCTAACAGACATTGTGGACAAAGGGCATATCTGGTTTCTGCCAAAAGCACCCTCGCACATTTGGGACCACGAGAAATAATACAGAGATACTCACAGGTGAATGGGAATAGGAGAGATCACCCCAGAGCACAACCCCAGAAGCTCCCAGTGCTGCACTCTCTCCAATTGTGTACACCAAATCAGACTGAATGAAGAAATTAAACACAAGCATCTTTACAATACGCCATCTCAGTACATCAGATACACAAATGGTCATTTCTGCTCTGGCATTAAGCTGATGCTCAGTTGGTTTTCTGGCTATGTACCAGGAGTGGTTTTTCAAGAGCTGAAAGCCTGTGTGTGATAGAGTCACTGTCGCTCCTGCTCTATCCATCCAGTTTTTCCATCCCACTAAGTTTTCTGATCAAGAAAGTGTTAAACAAATGTGCTTGCAGGTTTTTCTTCCTTTGTTTTCACTTTTTGCAGGACCCCACATTTTGGTGGCGTTAGAGTGGCAAAATTGTGTGTTTTTTGCTACTGCACTGCACCATCGAACTTCTGTGGCAAATCTGGCAGTAGAGGGAGGGGTGCTGTCCCCAGGGGGCTCTGAGAGGGCAGTGCAGCCCTGACCCCTGGAAGTTGCCCATCCCCTTTTCAGTGCTTCATGTCCGAGAGACTTGTTTGATAGGAGCCCTTGGGAGATGCGTTAAGATGAATGGCTTTACTTTATTTATTTATTAATTTTTCGATTTATATCCTGCCTTTTTCCTACAAAGGGCTCAAGGCAGCGTACATCATTCTCCTCCTGCATCTTATCCCCACAACAACAACCCTGTGAGGTGGGTTGGGCTGAGAGTCTGCGACTGGCCCAAAGTCACCCAGTTGGTTCCATGGCTGAGCAGGGACTAGAACCCATGTCGTCTGAGCCCCAGTCCCACACTCTTAACCACTGCACCACACTGGCTCTCACTCTAGGCAAAGATGGCCCTACAGCACTGTGTTGGGATGTCTGAGAAACTAGCTGCCTCTGATGACCTGCTAGGGTACAAGAAGGATATTTATCTGGCCTGCCATCTTTCATTATCACCATACCAAGCCAGCCCACTCTGAAGTTGCTTCCCTATTAGGACCCTTTGGCACTGTTGAGATTCCTTTTTTGCATGCTTCATCTTTTACTTAGTTGTACTGCTGTATTTCTCATAAAACTCTGGCAACGTCTAACACCATGGGCAAGATCCTAGTATATGGTTGCACGTAGTTTCCCATTCAACAACCATCCTACTTCCCCCTGCAATGGTTCCTTTAATTAATACCTTTTAATTACTTTTTCCTATAAAAGTGGCTAATTAATTGCTTCACAGCTTGCTCCCCATTCATAAATAGGTCTCAATTACAATTGACCCTCCACATGCATGGGGGTTGGGGGTGCAGGACCCCTGCGAAAATGGAAAAACTGCATATATTTTTAGGGCCCCTGCCAAACCTGAATTCTTAATACTGTTGGCCATACATGCACTGGATTGCTTCTCTCTCTTTCTTTGGTCTGATTCAGCAGGGTTCCTCTTCTTCACTTATTGCATTCTTATGCTCTTATTCCCCGCCCACCCTTTCATTCACGGTGCCTCCTCTTTGCACCAAGGAAACGCCAAAGCAAATTCCCTCCCTGGATGGGCAGGGCAAGAAGGCATGCTTTGCAGGCCCTCCCTCTCTTCCCCCTTTGCTTCCTCATTCTATGGTGAGGACAGTTTTCCACAGTAGGCCGCAAAACTCACCCCAAAATCCCATTTATAGTAATTATTGATGGCAAACTTGCAAATAATCAAATCTGTGAAAGTTGAGGTTCAACTGTAATCAGTTCCTGCAACAGCACTCCCTTTATTTATAATAGTGCAAATGTGACATTGGACTCGAGTTCAATGCCTTGATTCGGCCTAATCTTGAGCTAAGTGAGGTCAGGTCTGGTTGAAATCTTGATGGGTGACTTAATGTTGTGAACCACGGGGAAAGCTTCAGCTATGGGCCCTATAGAGGAGATGATGATGATGATGATGATGGATTCATGAATAACCATAGCCGATAATTTCTCCTCAGCCTAGTCTTTCTCACGGGGTTATGATAAAATCTGTCCACCTCCTACTCTGAGTTCCTTGGAGAAAAGACTCTCTCTGTCTCTGTCTCTCTCTCTCTGGGCGCGTGTGCATGAAGCAAAAGCAAATATTCCCTGCAGAAGACAGTGTGCAGCCAGGTAACAGATTTAACTTAATCACCTGTTCCACAGAAAAACTTCTGGACCTGTAGTATACCATTAGCCCTTCCAACATATCTCAGTCCTTACCTCACTTAGGTACCTTGAGGAATGCCTGTAGGAGACTCTGGAATATGCTATCACAGGGAGAGGCTGCTTCAGGCCAAACTGGGCCACCCGCAATGCCTCCCTGAGGCGGTGGTGAATGTAATGCTGGCGGAGAGATAATGGGAGCTTTGGTGGCAAGTATATGCTGGGATAGAGTGCCGAGGAAGCCTTCCAGAGCCACATGAGCTGATCATTTGACTTGACCTCTGTGGGACTGCAATGTCCAGTATAGTTTTCTTCTTTCTCCCAGTTGTCATTGAAGCAATCAGGGAACCGGTAGAACCCCCAGGACCCCTGTGGCCTCAGCTGCCTCCCCAGGCGCAGTGTGCTTTCCATGAGCCCCCGAGCTGCTTCTTCAAACTCTAGCTCAGCCAAGAGAGCTTGTTCCTCGGGGAATAGACCAGGAAATCTTTCCCGCACCCACTGTTCAGAGGCCTCCCTGTACACCTTCTTGGGGCCCCAATTCTGCCTCCAGAGAGGGCGCCACTCCTCCCAGTCAACCACTGCTAGGCCTCGGAAGTCGTGGTGCAAGAGTTCAGTTATTTCTTTTGAGGCCTTTTCTAGGTGTTCCTTCAAGTGGACCTTCTGGGGTATTCCGGCATTATGCCACTCACCCTCTGGGGAAATGTAAGGGTAGAGTCCAAACTTATTTTTATAAAAAATAGTCATGTTCTGACCACGAAACAGATTGCCTTTGTTCTCTACAATGCTGAAGTCTTCAAGAGGTAGGGGGATCTCAAAACGCTCTTGACATCTGGCTGTGGGCAAGTTCCACACCACAACAAACGGCTCATGTTGGATAATGGGACTGGCAGTCGCTCGCTCCCAGCTGAGCCCTCTCACAGGTTGGGTGGCCCCAAGACAAAAGGCAATGCAGATCCAGATGGTTTGGTCGAGGGTCATGGTGGATGTAATAAGCCAACGTCTCTTCTCAGGCCCCTCCTGCTTGGTTTACAAATGCATGCCCTGGCAACAAGAAAGGAAAGGTCAGCTTCAGATGGCCACAGTCCATTTCCCTGGCCTACCCCTTTTTTCTAAGCACCAACCATTTGGTGGGTCCCTGAGTCCTGGGCAGTGTTTCTCCCATTCTGAAAGGCCTCTGCTAAGGCAGTTATTGAGAGGAGAATGAGAACAAAAAATGGCAGTATTGTTGGTGCTGCCCCTTTGCACCCCCCGGGCCTTCAGCCCCACCTGCCACTGGAATACAGTCCAAAGAAGTGCTCCAAAATGCAATTAGGCCCTCAGGCAAAAGAGGCACAACATCTTTGTCAGCCAAAGACTGGACAGACCCAGGCTCTAGTCCATGGGTCCTCAAACTAAGGCCCAGATCTGGCCCGCCATGCCTATTTATTCGGCCTGCCATGCCCATTTGGACCCGCCGCGCGTGCGCCCACATCCACGTGAGCACCCGCCACCGCCCACCTCGCCCTGCATGCGGGGAGGCAGCAGTTTGTTCGCTCGGAGAAAATGATCTCCAAGCGAGCAAGCCGCTGCCTCGTGTGCCTGCCTCACGGCGCATGCCCGCCCGCACCTCGCCTCGCTGGGCGCACACGTCCGCCTGCGCCTCGCCTCAGCGCGCTCGCCCGCATGCGCAGCCCCTGCCCGTGCACTCTGCCGGCCCCACCTTTCCAGCCCGTGCCCAGCACCAGCAGCTTTCAACTGGCCCCCTGGTGGAAAAGTTTGAGGACCCCTGCTCTAGCCTAATCCCTTACCAAGGACACATGACCTAGGGATCAACTCGGCTTTGAATCCACGTCCACCTTGTTCCTTGGCCTACCTGCCTTATTTCACAGGGTTGCCACGGTGATAAACTGGAGTGGGATGGGTGGATTGAGAAACCATGGACGTTCCCTTAGGTGAAGGATAGGTGAAGTATAAAATGTTATTAATCAGTTCTCTTACTGAACTGGTTAAATTTATTAAATGATGCTAAACCAAGCACTCATCACACTGCCCAGTCATTTGTTTCCAAGCTGTTTCTTTGACCTAGGGATCTGGATCTAGGATGAATTCAAAATTACTTTTGTACAGGGATGGTAACCTGCGGCCTTCAGCCCAACTTCCAAAGCCTGCTGCAAGAGAGCAAGTCAGCCAGTCCTCTTGCCAGAGTGATCTACTCTCCTGCTGCAGCCTGGAGAGTCTGGGAATCAGACTGGGAAATATCCAACATCCTGCTCAGTGCAGGAATCCAGTTAAATCAAACCTGGCAGATGGCTGGCTAGTCACTGCTTGAATACAATGGAAAGCACACTGCCCCTCTAGACAGTTGACTCCATTATCCAACTATAAGGAGATGTTTCCTTACTCAGTTGGGGTTCAATTAAAATCTTGTGCCTTCAGCCCCTTATTTTGAGGACCTGCAGGCTTGGAAGCCAGATTAATGGTATCAGAAAAAGAAAGAAGGAAAAGGGGCCCCTGCCCACTGTTGGCTGCCCTCCCCCACTCACTGGCAGCTTCACCAACAGGGACATGTGGTTATGGCCTTTAACAGAAAAATCATTCCCTAAGCAGGCTCTGGGGTAGATATTTTGGGAAGACAAGTTTTAAGGGAGAAAACCACAGAGAGAGGTGGACAGGACTTCAAGAGGCAGGAAGCTGTCCAGGAAAGACCTTGTTGCACCAGATGATATTTAAAGTTGCCTCTTTTGTGAGTAAGAGCTGTTTGGATTACAGGGATACTGGAAGAGATGGCTCAATGGCTGCCAGGTATTTTTCCGCAATGGAGAAGCCCAAAACTCAGACGGGACTATTTCCATTTGTTGGTTTGGATTTGTTTGCTCTGTGTCAATTCCCCTTGGCTCTGTTTTCCATTTCAGCACTGCAGCCTGAAAGAATATCAAGCCTAGCGAACTACTGGCTCTTTCAGGCTCTGGCTTTACTCCCAGTTGCCAAAGGCCTCCGAACAGGGCTTTTGACTCAGCAGGCAAGCACGCCCTGAAGCCAACAGGCCAACATCAATATCACACATGCCTGTGCTGTGATCCCCTCCCCTCTGTCAGGGAGGCAGGATGTTGGGATACAAGTCAAACTAATTACCACACTGGAGAATTCATTGGCTGAGATTTTTCATAATCTTTGGGCTCTGCACAGCAGCTCAGAATTAGCTTAACATTTCCTGAACCAGCATGGAAAACCTCAACCGTAGCTTCTCTCAGTATTACAGTATTTCCTGCCAGTCGAACAGATATGGCAATACATCCTTTCTTCCGGCTTCTAACACTTTTATCTAAATTCTTGTGCACCTTCAAGAAGTATCAATATTTCCCTCCCATTCTCTGCCTGTGGGTGTGAGGCTACTGACTCCCTCATTGAAGCAAAGATCTTTGCAAATCTACCCACAAAGTTAAGTTTCCAGAGCAGGTAACTGGACATGCATGTAAACTAATGGTTGTTAGCTTTGGGGGTAGCTGGCAGAAACAGCCTAACTGCTTAAGAGAAGGCCTTGGCAAACCAAAATTAAACAATATGGTAAAGTTTAAAATATCATAGTATCCTGTCTTGTAAAAGCTTTACTTTATGATGTTAATTTCTAAACTGAAAGATGCTACAGTGTAATCCTGCCTAAAATACTTTTGCTTTGCCTTGAATCCATTTAAATCAGAGTTAGATGGAAGCTGGTTTTGTTTACTTAGTAATGGGAGAACACCACTCTGTACATGCCTGGAGGCACACTCTTCTATTTTTTATTTGTCAAAGCTAAGTTTTGGCACTAAAAATAATTTGCTTTAGGGTTCATTATTACGTTGCATTTAAGCTCTGCCCTTTTTCCTCTTGGGAGGAACTCAAGGCAAAGCTCCATTTTATCCTCACAACAACCCTGTGAGGTAGGTTAGGCTGTTCTAACAAATCCTGACTGGTCAGCCCTGCAATTCTCCATGCTGCACTGTCTGCTCCATCCTCTTTTACACAGCCTGCCTCAGGATGGCTGCCAGTGAGCCACATGCCCAGCAAGATGGATAAAGGAACTCCTCTGCTACCACAGATGAGCACCACAACAGTCCAGAAGTAGCATGCAGAGTCTTCCCCCATGAGACAGGTGATCAGGAGTCAAATGATGCTCATCATCACCTCACAGCCTCTTTCCAGTTCCTGGTTTTGGATGCGGTAGCCAGATCCTGTGTGCTTCACAAGGGCCCACCCTGCAGCAGGCACTACTTGGTTGACAAGCTCCATCAGCCTGCAAATCAGTACCAGAAATGTGAGCAAGGCAATCCCAGAAAGAAAGCCCTCTGGGACACGTGCAGCCCTAGGTTAATTGCCTTTAAATGCCTTATCTCTGATCAGCATGTGGTTAATTTTAACCACAGCCTGCTGCCCGGTCCCTTTCAATGCTGTACAGCAAGCAGGTGCACAGCTCAACCAGCCTCACACTAGCAAATAGGCTTACAGCAGCTGGAATATACCAAAGAACAAAAGTTCAGAGTCACACTATAGGTTAACATGATCATGGATGCTCCACACAAGCTTGGCCACATTTGGCCAAGAACTGCCACAAATCAGAACCAGATTCGGCATTAACAAAATTGTTAACAGTATCTTACTTTTCCATGAAGAAGCAGCTTTTATAGATAGCTCCTTGCATGCATTGTTTTGCTGTTGATGTGATTTATGGTGCTGAAGCAGCTCTGCCAGGAAGTTGAAAGTGCATTTGTCATATTCTGTAGTCAGATTTCCATCCAAAAGGAAGAGGTCTTCATGTTGTGTAGGGCAATCCTATGCTTACCTGTTTCCTCTAAAGCAAATTAATGCTGTATTACAGGAAACTTACCCACCAGTACCAATAACTGCAGCTTTAATCACTGGTTAATTGACTGTAGTTGAGCTGTTTATAAGTTTCTTATTAAGCAGTGAGGCTAAAGGTTAAGGGTACATTTACTGTTTCACCCACCTGTTTTTTTGGCATCAGTCTATCATAGTAATAAGGAAATAAAGTGCAGTAATTCTAAAGTAAGTTGTATATATTAGATATCAAGCCGTCCTGAGATGTTTGCAGAGGACAGGATAGAAAAGCTTTTAAATAATAAATAAAAAGAAATTCTCTCAAATATCCTTCAGTACCTCAAAGGATCACTTTCTTTCAGGTTTGGGTAAAATGTCAATATTACTATATTGCATTTATATCTGCCTTTTTTCCTCTTGTGAGGAATCACGGCAGTTTACATAGTTCCATTTTGTCCTCATGACAACAATCCCATGAGACCTGTTAAGCTGAGAGTCCATGGCTAAGTTGGAACTAGAACCCAGATCTCCTGAGCCCCAGCCATGCACTCTAACCACTACACAATGCTGCCTCTTAAAATATATAGCAGTTACATTAACTGATTCATCCATTAGAAAGCTAATGATTTAGAAAATATTTCATTGGATGAAAAGTAAAAGTAATGATTTATAAATGTAATAATAGAAAATGTAATACTTCATAAAGAAGTTGGTGGTTTAGTCAATGGTTTTTTTCTAGCAGGCCACTGCTGTTGCACAACACAGCAAGATACTCTCTCAAAGAACTCAAAGCCTCAGTGCATTCCCCATGATACACTCAAGCAACATGGCAACAGGAAATTGCATTATGTTCCTCTGGCCAGATCACTCTCTGGGGACATTTTAAATTGGACAGTAGCCTTGGAAAGGACCCTCTCCAGTCAGGTCAGACTGACAATACTGCAGCATTTTAATATGTGCAACAGAACCCTGCTAATCCCCGGAAAGGAAAACATTCCTCTTCCACAGTCATGAAGTTCTAAGAGTGGAGACAGCTGGCCAGAGGGCTTAGGTCTCCTCCCTCCCTCTTATGTTGGCTGTTCATGAGTTCCCTGAACATCAGAAAGTGGAATAACTTTGCAATACTTTTGTTGCAATGTGGAATAACTCTGCAACACATACGAACAGTCCAATATAGGAATAAACATATTTGGACAGTCAGTTCTTGGGCTTTAAAAAAAATGCATGGATTCTCATGCTTAAAGTATGCTCTGCCATTCCATGGAAAATCTGAGCCAGATGGGCAGATTGGAGAAACTGAACTGTATTCTTCTATCCAAACTGGATGGCAGTAGGCCAACTCACTCCAACCTGGTGTCCTTGAGATGTTTCCAACTTTCAACTCCTATCAGCCCCAGCCAGCATGACCAATGGTTAAAGAACCTGGGGGTGGGCACCACATTGAGAACGCCTGCACCACACCAACTGCATTCGGTCTTTCCAGGGTAGCAATTTTATGATGTGACTGGTGACTAACCAGACTGGGCCAGAGCCTGACAAACCTTTACCTGTAGAGCTGCCTTGGGCCAGCCAGTTAAGCTGCAAATTTGGTGGAAACTTAAGTCCCACCAAATTAAATGGGCCACATGTGGGATTGTAGCAGTGAAACAGGTCAGGAAAGCTCTGTGTGGTCTTAGAGGAAAAGATTTCTAAGTAATCCTTATGACTGAACAGGTTGTGTTGTACTGACTTCAAATAGACCAGAAGATGAACAAAGAATGTTTAGTTTACTCATGATTTTTAGACAACTTTGAAATGGAAATCTTACATTTGTATAGTTAGCACTCAATCGGTTTGCGCTTCACCAAGTTTACCATGGAGAATGGTGGGGAGAGGAGGCGGCTGTAACAGTGTGTGGGTATCTAGACTAGTATGTTTTGCTGCTTGTCTGGTGTCTTGGCCTTTCCAAAATGCTGGCTGTGTGCCACGACTATGCCAGAAGCGTTTCCCCCTCCTCACCCTTGTGCACAGTGCCAGAGATGTGCATCATTTCCATCTGCATCACTGAGATGCACCCTGGCGCTGTCTCAGGATGCATCAGAGCAGAATGGCCAGAAGGCTTCAAAAGAGAAAGGATGTCGCTGGAAATCTGCCTGTATGCACCAGCATGGCTGCTGTCCTCCGTGTGTCCACTTCATCCCGTGCAGGATTCTCACCGAACCAAAGCAGCACGCGCGCGCGCGCGCGCGCACACACACACACACAGTGGACTGAGATCACAAGAAAGTAATGGCCATCAGGCACTGAACTGCTGACATGAATGGGCCTTTCACAGATGTGGACAAGCACGGCCGATTCGCCATCGTGCCAGGTAATCAAAGGCTACCCTTCCCATTAGGTAACACAAGAAGTTGCCTTATACGGAGTCAGTTTCTCGGGCCATCATACTCAGCATTATGACATGAACTGGCAGTGGTTCCACAGGGTGTTAGATGGGGTCTTTCCCAGCCCCACCTGGAGATGCCAAGGAATGAACCTGGGAGCTTGGGTGTGCTGAGCTAGTGCTCCCCTGCTGAGCCCTTCTCCATTGCTCCATAAACAAAAAGCAGGCATGGGTGACGCCCAGTGCAAAAGGTAGCAATGAAGCCAAGGCAAGCCAGGAGGACTGGTTGCTAGAGCTGAGGAGGCAAGTTGGAAAAAAATCTACCAGAGCTGCTCTGTGGTTAATCACTTCCATGCACTAAAGCAGGCTTCCCCAACCAAGTACCCTCTAGATGTTTCAGCTACAACTCCCAGCATTCCTAACCAGGCCATACTGGCTGGGGCTGTTAGGAGCTGAAGTCCAGGACATCTGGAGAATGCCAGCTTGGCAAAGGCTGCAGTAGTGTTATATATTTGGGGCCACCGCTGCATTATTGCTACAGTACTATTGAGGACAAGGAGTTATACAAGGAGGGAGGGAAGGGACATTCTGATCTAATGTTGTCTTACTTACAGTAGACCCAATGAAATGAAGTCATGGCTAACTGAAGCAGAGTGACATTGGCTTTAAACCTCTAAAAGCATAAACACATATAAAAATAGTTTAAGAACAGCCACTGCAACCAACAAATCAACAATGTGCCTCCAAATTCATCTTAAAGACAACACTATTGAGATTGGCAAAAGTCCCATCTGAACACCAGTATAGACACACTGCATCAGGACATGGTCACCCTTTAATAAAGGGTGTGGACGTGGAGGTGGCTGCTGGTCTTCAGTAAAGCCTAGTAAGTCCAGACACCTGCCACACGTCTTTTCTACTCCCTGGAGTGCCTGCTTACTGCCCACTTGCCCCAAGATTAGGGGGCAAGACCTGGATAGTGTTCAGATACCTGGAGCTAGTACTAGGGTAAGACTCCAAGCTCAACAGCAGCAGCCCTTCCCCCAACATCCCACCTTCCAGTGTTCTGGACTCCAGGCAATGGTCAGGAATGCTGGGAGTTGTAGTCAAAATATCTGGAGCCTATAAGGCTGTCCTACATAAAGGAGAGGCATTCTAAACATGAGGAAGAAAATGCTGCACTTCAAACATATAAACAAGAATGTCATCTTTTTCTGGCTTCAAGGGAAGCAGCCCAAAGTAATCCTTACATTGCTGAAAATGTGTGGCTTGCAGGGTGCAAAGAAACCACACATATCTATGGTATCTTTAATAGCTGGTATGTGGCTTTGCAGCTACAGCCGCTTTAGTGCAGTTTCTGGTATGGGATGAGGCATTGTTTGGAGAGTAGTTTCAATTAATAGAAAGCTCTGTGTTGAGCACAGAAAAGCCTTCCCTAATCTGGTGCCCACCAACATGCCTAAGCCAGTGAGTAGCTGGGCCATGCTGGGAGGTGGTGTCCAACACATCCAGAGGGCAGCAGGTTGGAGAAGGCCCACACACAATGCACAATTCAGAAAGGAATTTGTATTTGCTATATGGGGATCAAAAAACCTGCACCTACAGTTGTCATTTGATAATGTATATACAGCTTGCTTTTTTTTTTTTTCCTACAGTGCACATGATTTCCTTTTTGAGCTGGATCAAGTGCTGAAGGGATCTGGAATCTGCATGCTTAAGAAGAGAATCTGAAGAGTTTTTGAAATAGAAAATGCAGCGACACTTATATACAGCATGAGTCTGTGTTATGTTAGATGGTGGGACATTTCATGTTTGTTATAATTTTGGAGGGGTAGAGTGATACCTACCTTTAGTTCATGTTTGTACTTCCTTCTGTTTTATTCCCTAATAGAAAACTTACCTGTATGTATTATACTACTGTGAACATAGGAAAGGAATAATCATACTTGGTAAAATCACAGCATTTGTTTTCTACAGTCTAAGCCTATGGAAGCTGCATCAGTTTTGGCTCCTCCACAGGGAAACAATGTTGTATTATTAAGAATTGAGCCAATTTAGTTTGGGCAAAGAAAGATATACAAACACATCAGATGAGAGAACATATCAGGGCAAGTTTATACATTAGTTTTGAGATGTCTCTATAAAAGATTTTAAAGGTACTTGTAAAAACATGCCATCTGAAGATGGCCAATGTGTGTTTACAAATGCATGCAATTATTCTACAGGTACATTCACTACAGCAGCCTTCCTCAACCAGGTGCCCTCCAGATGTTTTAGACTACAATTCCCAGCATTCTTGACCAGACTAAGGCTGCTGGGACTCCAAAACCTCTGGAGGGTACCAGCTTGTGAAAGACAGCACTAGGGAGCTGAAATTGTTTGCAGCTGTTCAACAGACATATGCCATATAGCATACAGTTTGCTGCAAAGTAACATCTGAAACAGCCTTGGAGGTGGAATACTAACTGATTACTGAGCTGGAAAAGCCCTGTCCATATGGGTGGAGAGGGAGACATTTTTTCTCCCTCAATTGTATTACTAGAGCCTGGGGACTTTCAGGGGAAGATTCAGGATAGAGGCAAGTAAGTACTTCCCCGAACAGTGCAGAGTTTCTGACATTGAATTCCACAAGCTGAGATGATGCCCACCTGCCTGAATGGCTTTAAAAGTGGGCTGGACAAATTCATGGAGAAGCTGAGCAATGGCCGTTAGTTCTGATGGCTGTGTGCTGCCTCCAGTATCAGAAGCAGTGTGCCCCTGTACCAGAGTTGCTGGGGATCTTTGGTGGGGGGGGGGTGCTGCTGTACTTGTGCTCTGTTGGGGGGTCAGTATACACAGCTGCTTGGCACAATGTGAGCAAAAATGGCTGGTCTGAGGCAGCAGGGCTCTTCTGATGTTCTTAAAAACTAATGGCTACAGATTGGATGGAAGGTCAAAAACAGAAACAGTGCAGTGGCTCAGCTTTCCCTGAAAGCTAATTCCACATAACACTGTTCTTTAACCTAGAAAGCCTACCCCATAATTCCACATGGTGGGGATTAAGTGCCTGCCCAGAAGCAAGAGGAACATGCTACACGCACTCAAGGACAGTAATTTCTTCCAGTCAGCATTACCCAATCCATGTACAGACAGTGGCTGCTTCCCAGAGGGGAGGAAGCCGGTTCTACTGCACCCGCATCAATTCTGCTGAGCTCTTGCACATGCACACATTTGTTTATGTACTGCAGAGTCAGAAGGGACAGGTCAGATCTTTGTTTATTGATAAAATGAAATCAGACAAATGCATTGAAATATATGATACCCACTTGGCGATGGCAACAGCCCTCAGAATACAATGGGCAGTGGCCTTGGAAATGCATTCAAAAGATCGAGAGCATTGTCTTAGCATCTTGACATTCTCATGGCATCAAAATGGGCTCTTCCCCAGAAAGGAATCAGCTAAATTAGAGCTGTGGGAGGCTGGATCGTTTAACTTATTCGTTTCAAAATGACCATTTCTCATTGCATCTATGAAGCCAGGTATTCCTTGTAAGAGTCTTCCTGCTTTTCTTCCAGTTACCATTTCATTTTCATCACCACTCTGGCACACGATGAAAAGATTAGATGTCTTTCTCCATCCAGAATATAGGCTGACCTTTCAGGTCACGATATGGCGTGTCTACCAACAACTGTCCCTGGGTTTTGATCCCTGAAGGGCTAGAAGAGGCAGGCTTATGGGAGTCTGCATGGCCTGGCGAAAGGACCGTCGAGGGAGGTACAGGAGGGGGAGGGGGTGGCAGCAGAAGACTTGTGGCACCATAGCAGCTAGCAGAGAGAGGGATGGAGGCTGATGTTGATGAAGGAACAGAAGCATTAACAGGCTGCAAAGAGCTACGGGAAAATCCAGAAGCCGATGGCTGAGGTGGTGAACCTGTAACTGATGCTGAATGGTAAGAACTAGCAGGAGTCAACGGAGGAAGTCTGGGAGAAGAGGCTGGGGAGCAAACGGAGGAGGAGTAAAGGGGTGTAGCACTTGGCAACACAGGGAGATCTGCCCCTGACCTCCTGCTGTAAGATGCACTTGGATGATGTTTCGCAGAGGCTGCATGGAGTTCCCTGCCAGGCTGTGAGGGAGACAAACTCTCCAAAAACCCCAAAGGCACGATGGAACTCATGAATCCGGCACACTGAACAGGCGTGGACAAGACAAAACCCAGGTGGGCATAAAAATGCTGTTTGTCATGGGTGGTGAGGTGCAGACGCCGATAGCCCCGAGACGTAGCATAGCTCTCGACAGCTTCCATCAACTTCCGGCCATAGCCCTTCCCACGGAGGGCCTTGGCGACCACCACTGTCTCCACAAATAAGCTCTTTGGCTGGCTGACCACCCGGGACAGCCTGGCGTGCCCCAGGAGCTGGCTCTGGCTCTTGGCCATCTTCCCATCAGCGGTTTCCTCCACTGTCTTTGGAGTCCGAATCAGCACCAGGCATGTGGGGAAGTTGTCACTGGATCTCTGCAGGGAGTGGAGGCGTGAAGTCTTGCTCTTTTTCCATTCTTCATTGATGAGGTCAGCACAGGCCTCCAAGAGATCAGGCCTCTGGTGAAGGGGGATGGCAGTGAGCATCTCTGAAATCGAACCCATTCTTCTCACTACCAGGAGACCAAGTGATGGAACTTTACAAGTGACACAAGAGAGCTTGGCACAGGCCTGAAAGCACAAACACAATGAACTAGTTCCAAGAGAGCGAGCCCTGACTATGACATCAGAGACACCTGAATTGCTTCTTACTTTGCTAGGATTCAGCATTTTTGCCAATGAGGGGAGTGACAACATCCACTGTAATCAGCCCGTTGCATAAAACAAAGGACACCAGATAGGAATCCATTTGGCCATCAAACATGCATGGAGGTAGGTGCAGAGTATCAACTGCTGAAGGATTTCAATACTTCTCACTCCTCCAACTGCTGAGTCATCCTTAGGACTTGTTTTGTCTAGGTCAAAAGTGGGGAATGGATGGATATCCAGATGTGGTTAGACTATACCTCCCATCAACCGTAACCGACTTGGCCAATGCAGAGAAGTGACATGCACTTCAACCACAACTGTGTGGCCACACACTGCCCATCCCTGCCACGGGGTGTTACCCTGCCGAGGCCAGTACACATGCTAGCATCATCTACTATGATGGCATCTAGGAACCAAAGTACAGACTCATAATCTGCTTCTTGGAAACTTCCCTCTGCCCAAGGGCCCCCCAGGAACCTGAAAGCCAGCTCAGCTCTTGGATACACCCATATGCTTAATGTAATTCACGTTCAGATAAACACAGCTTGGCTGAAGGCAACTCATGTCCTGCCCCTTGAGAACATCACTCCAATTCAAATGGTTTTGAAACCTTTAGCAAAAAGATGAACTTCCCACATTTCTATATTTCAATACACAACCATGAAAAGATTTTATTTTGATTTTTTTTAAGCAAAGAAGTATAGTTTATGCTTTATGAGACAATGGCAGACATACATGCAGATTCCTGGACAACTTAGTTGTAGGCTACAGAACACTTCTTTGAGCTGTGGCAACCTCTCTAGATGAACACCCAAACCCAATTTGGCTCCTTTATCTTCTTGCAACAGACTAGCTAGGGTTCTGGTCCAACATCTTTTATGAGTAGCTTAAAATTTAAGATAGTTTTATAGGATTTGGAGCGGTTAATAACTGTCCATTTATTTCCCTCAAGAAGCAACAGAAGTGAAACACAGCTCATGTTCTGTCTGTCTACAATGCCAATTTGCCATTTGAGCAAACGTTTGACTGGAATATAAATTAATCCAGCCTTTTGCAACCTGGTGCCTTCCAGATGTGTTGGGACTGCAATTTCCCTCCTTTCCAGCCAGTATGGCTGAGGATATAAACTAAAGTCCAAGACACTCGGATGGCACCAGGTTCGGGAAAACAGTGTTAACAAGCAGTATACCAGAACTGTGAAAAGCAGCTCATTGTAGTAAAACAAGGAAACACACCCTCCTCCGAACACAGCAGACTCTTGCATCAAGAAATGCCCTTCAGTGACAGTCATCAAGGAGCAACCCCCATGCTCATTTTTTCTCATTTAAGGCATGCGGGGACTGGCCAGGGGGTTATTTGACAGGATCACTATGTACTGCTTCCTCAAAGTTTCCGGCAAAGCGGGCTCAGCCAAAGATGTGGCAAATCATACGCATGTGGTGTGTTGCAATATTCCCATAACTAGACCCAGAAGAGCCACAGATGGTTTCCAGAGTTACTGCACAGGATGAGCTCACATATTCATGGCACCACGGGACTGCATGAAACTGTGCTACTGGGCAGAGGGCGGGCACTCTGAGGATTTTGGAAAGCCCTGAAGTGAGCATCAGGAAGTCTAGCTACAACTCTAGCCAACTCTGCCCCGCTCGACCCAATGGAGGAAGTGCTGCTGTTGAGGCTGCAGATGAGCAATGGAGCACTTTCTCTTACACTGTTCAGACCCCTCGCCTTCCCTCCCACATGTCACAGGCAGCAGCCCCCCATGCTGTCAACTTTGGAGAACTCAGAGAGAGGAAGGACTGTCTTTTGTTGTACATTCGTGTCAGTCTGTTTTCCCCAATATTTTGGATCATGTTTTTATTCTCCCTTGCTTTTTGTTTGTTCATCCATGCAAATTATGTCTTGTCCATCTACCAAAAGATGTTGCTTAAGGTAGCTAACAGGAAAAGCGAAATTAAAAACAAGATGTAAAATATAACACAAATGCATTTAAAAGACAATAGTGAAAGGAATAAACAGCACCAACCAATTAAAACTGTATGATCCTTCTCCCCCTGCATCAGGAAACTCCAAAAATCACAGCCTCTTACCAAGCCAAGGAAGGCAGATGGGTGGAAACACACCAACACCACATGGGAGCCATGCTGGGGAGCATGAGAAGGCCCAGAGTTGGCCGTGATGAGAGCGTTCCTCTCACAGGCCTCTGTGTTTCCTCAGAGTAGTCGCCAGAGTGCCTTCTGAACGCACTGAGGCCACGCAACTGGAGCAGACCAGTTCCCCCAAAAGCTGAAGAGGTGCTTGCAGCGGGGACACTGGCTTGGGAGGCAAATCCTACTTCAGAGACAGGCATGGCTGGTGTCCTCCAGCTGCTCTGCACTGCAACTCCCACCATCTCTTATTTCTGGCTATGCTGACTGGGGTTGATGGCCACTGCAGTCTAAAACATGGAGATGCCGAACTGCCTGTCCCTGCCCTAATTACATCAGCAGTGGGCAACATAGTGTGGGGTCCAGGACTTTTATGAAAGTGCAAACAGCTGGAGGGACTGCATGGACAGAATAGGATAAAAATGGTAAAATACAAACTGTCTCCCCCACTCCTTTCAATAAGGAAAGCAATGAAACCCTGCAGCCTGAGAAATCCCTCAGAAACTCACACCCCATCCCACAATTTTTGGGTGCAATTTCTTTTCGCCCTGCTCCGCAATGAAAGGCCAAAAACAAAAAATTCAGCACAGTACTAATCTATCACCCTTACACAACTTTTAAATGCAGACTTTGGTACCTTTTCTGGAAAAGTGTTGCACACATGGGCCAATTTCCCTTGTCAACTGCTAAAGTTTCTAGAAAAGCCACATGCTTGTGGTAGGAAGTGTCAGGGCAAATGTTTTTCTCAATAAAGGCTAAAGCAGCGCAAATTATGCTTCCCTATTAGCTCAACCACAGTTCCTGGCAAACCATGTTCTTCAGGCAAGATTTCGCTGTCCACTCAAAATAATTAATGTACTTCCTTTAGCATTAAATTCTTGTGGCAACCCTGCAGTTCTGGAGCAGCCTTCCAGGACAGTTCACCTGACACCGTCCCTGCGGCCCTTCCAGCACCATCCTATTCAGCAGCACCTTTTAAATCATTCACATACTCTGGACCTCTTCTGCTTTTAATCCTGTTTCTAATGCCGTCTGCTGGGAGCTTTGCTTTGTTGTTGGGTTTTGTGCTGCCTTTGACTTTACGGTTTAACAATCTATTTATTTTTATTTTATTTAAAACTTTTCTATACTGTCCCATCACAGACATCTTGGAACAGTTTACAACAGATCTAAGTTTGTGTTTTAAACTGTGTTCATGTTCATTTCCTGTAAGCCACTGAGAGAACTCAATGATATGAAGCAGCAAACTTATGTCTGTAAACCAACCAAACAATTAAAATGGTATAAAATCTTGCCAGGGTTAAGAATCAGGCCAACCACCAAAAGATAATTTGATGTTCTCTCAGAAATACCAACTATTCATACTAAATATTCCACAAAGGACTTTTTCAAGTATTTCATACATGCTATTTCAGACATGCTTAAAGCAGCCTTCTAAGAGAAGCTGCAGTTTTCTAAGGAGGTGCGGGGAGAGGATGAGCAAATAAAGGTCTGCCTAAACAATTAAGGAGTAACAATCAATAGCATGATTTATATTAAATTACTATCAGACTGTTTGGCTATGCTGGTATTTAGGTTTCGCTGCGCAGTGCTCTGTTTTCTTCTTATGTACTGTAATTTACAAGCCACATTGGACCAACATCTTCAGTGGAAATGCAGTATGCAAAGAAAAATGGTGGCGGTGGAGGTGGCGAGTTTCCCATCATTTTCTTAGCCATACATTCAACCACAAGAAGTACTTTTACAATTATGTTGAATCTCGGGTGTTACATGTGCATGTTGCTAACATGGAATACAATGCCAAAGTGAAATTGAATTTGTCCACTTTCACCTACGCCAGTTCTGCATTTGCGTTACAGATCATCTGAGTACCCATATGCCCAACTGCTTTTAGAGGTGCTCACCTCACCCACCCAAAAACACACACACAAAGCTACCTTTTAGGCACAATACAAGGCTCCCTTGTTGGAGAAAGGAGAAAAGACATGATCTTTAAACACCAAGGATACCTGTTGTAATCACTTGCACAGTTTTGGGGAAAGCATTCTAGGGGATCAGAACAATCAGAAATGCTAAATCCCAAAAAGATGGAGTGTTAAATGACATGCTACACTAAAAGTATGTCTGATCCTGGCTTTTTTTACTTTGAGCAAACACATGTTGCCCAAGTCCAGATCAAGACCCTCATAACCAGGTACTGGGGACTAAACTTGCCCTAAATATAGCCATGAAAGGGGTGGGGGAAACCACATTTGGTGTCAACTGAGTTGTTTCTTTACATCCCACGTGAGAGGAGACAAATTTAAGAGAGAAGAAGCTGGAGGGAAAAGGTTTAACCCTGCACACCTTGTGCTGTGATCAGAGCCCCACACACTAAGGAAAAAGAATCGGCTACGCGTTATGCATTTAACACAGTGTGCCCTTCAGCCCTGACCATCCTTCATACTTCATCAAAATCTAGTCAAGAGACAGGCTCACACACTGCAATCCAAGCCATTTTTCCTCACAAAATTTAACTGACCATTCCATATTCCAGGCTATAACACTCACCCTACTATGTAAGATCTCTCATTAGCCGGGATCCTGGCTCTAGTGATAACTTAACACTGTCCTCACAACACCTAAGAGATGATACCACGCAAAAGGTGGCACATGACTTCCTTTTTTGAGTTGAACCAGTCTCCATCTCTGCGTCTTTCTACATCTCAAGCACCACTTCTTTTTCCTATGCACCAACTGGGCACTAAGAGTTGTTTGTTTGTTTAAAGCTTTTCTATCCCATCCCCTACAAACATCTTGGGATAGCTTAAAAAGAGATTCCATGATCCCGTTGCGTAGAACAGCAATGAAACACGCTGTAGGGCCTGGAGAGAAAGAAGGGCTTGAAAAAACCCCCACTTAGCTCAGTCAGAGCAGCACAGGATGGGAATCTCATCCTGCCAGAGGGTGAAGGTTTGCAGCCTTACCCATCACGAAGTTCCTCAGATCACCCCTCATTCTTCGACTTCAACCCTTTCCTCTCAGAACAAACCAAACCCACATTAGAACATGCAGACCGTGGTCCTAACCAGACCGTGGTCCTAACCAAATGCAGAGGCAGCAGCAAATCCATCAGGCTTCCCAGATTTATGTTACTTACTCCTCTCCAGTACCTGACTGTATGTGCTGTCCAGCAGGCAGAGGGAGCAGAAGATGCAGCGGTAGCAAGTGCCTGCACTGAATGGGAGCTGCCTGCAGTGTTGCTTCCCTCCTTTGACGTGTCTGCTTTCAAAATAAGGCTCAGGAGAAACCGTCTTAAGTGCTTTCACAAGAACATGGCAGGAAGCAACACAAGCTCCTGCAGTTCATTTCTTCTTTTAAAGACGGCGCTCTGTGTTTACTTGACTACAGGAGGAAAACCCCAGTCATGGAATGTAAATTGTGTGTTGCCCGGCCCAGCCCTTACACTGGCCAAAGGATGACACCCTTCCCAAAAACAAGAAAAAAAGTAGACAGACTTTATGGGGTTCTCATATGGATGCCTTCAGCCACCATAGCTGACAAATCCAAGAACTGCCTGAACTAGCATCAAAGCACCTAATTGCTTTTGGAAATGTGCTGATTTAGATTCTAAAAACCCATTCTCTGATAAACAACCACTTGGGCAGTATCTGGTCCTATTATGAGTAGAAGAACAGGACTAGCAAGGATGGAATGGACCAGAAAATAGGGCATACAAGGTGGACAAACCAGACTTACTGCTTCCTGCACACTAACTTCTTTCCAGTGCTTAGTCCTGCTATTAAATGAGATGGTTGGTTCTTGAGCCTTCAGGCTACTCCCAAGTCTTCTACTCTGCCTTGCGACTGCCACTGCTTGTTGTTATTACATTTGAGGTCCAATCCTATGCACACTTAGGCAGAAAAACGGTCTACAATTCACAGCATGTGCAAGTCAGCAAAGTAGCGACAAGCACCTGTTTGGGGCATAATGATCATTTGAGGATGGTTTTCCTCACTTAAACTTGTACAGAATAGCATCCCTAGCCTGATGTCTTGCTTATGCATCCTCCCCAACCCATAGCAGTATAAATATACACAGCAGGATTGAACAACCCATTTTCCACCTTCCCTGACCTGCCCGCAGGAGTAATGCTGAGAGTGAGTGGGACCACAGCCATCCCCACACTCTCCCTTTCTTCTTACGAATAAAATCAGAATCAAGAGAGCTTTTCCCTTTTTCTCTTCTAAGCATCTCAAGAGAAAGAGGAAAAGAATGCTGGGTGGTGATGGTCTTTTAACAAACATCATCCTCCACAACTCCCTCTCTTTCTCTCCAACACCCCCCTTCACCCTTTCCCACTACTTGCATCATCCATCTATTCTCTCTTAGCTTTCACAATCTCTTTTCTCCTTTTCTTTCTCTAATCCTTCACCTCTCTGCCACCCCACTTTCACCTCTCCTTGCCTGACTCATCATTTCACTCATTGCTTGTGCCCATGTTGATCAAATGACTACTGTTGCAAGGAAAATGATGGACTGCGAAATGCATCCTTAAACACAAAAGCTTTAACACGGAGCACAGTGACTGGAAAGGATGCTCTGCCACTCTAGCTGCTGCACTGGGCACATGTGTGGGTGCCTGCCTCTCCCCTGTTCTCCCTGGGATGGCAGCTGGTGCAGAAAGGAATGAAAAATTTCCTGGGTAGCACCATGAGCCACATGTGGCCTCTGACTGCCCAGCTCTGATGTAAGGGATGTTCAGTAGTGATGAATGTTGGCACAGTATGGATCTCCACAGCCTAGTGCTGCCTTCATTGCAGATGCCAATAGAGACCAAAGGGACTGGGGGACGGGTGAGGCTGGACTATCCCCTGGGAAGAACTAGCATGCTGCCAGGAAGACATTCATTTCTTCAGGATGCCTGCTTTTTATAAGGTCTCAGAGCGCAAAGGCTTGAACTTTGGTTGCTGCCTGTGTCAACAGCTGGAGGGGCACATGGAAGGAAAAATTTTTTCCATTTATTTTCCATTTATATCCTGCCTTTTTCATACAAAGGGCTCAAGGCAGCTTACATCATTCTCCTCCTCCATCTTATCCCCACAACAACAACCCTGTGAGGTAGGTTGGGCTGAGAGTCTGTGACTGGCCCAAAGTCACCCAGTTGGCTCTATGGCCGAGCGGGGACTAGAACCCAGATCATCCGAGTCGCAGTCCCATGCTCTTAACCACTGCACCACACAGGTGAGTCAGCAACCAGCAAAGCTCCCTGGCCAAAGATTATAAAACTCATGGAAACAAGAGAAGGTGGATAGACTATCCCCAGGCAATGAGACAGTTCTTTTCCTACCACCATTATGTATCTAACAGAATCCTTTCTGTTCTGAAATGAAAAATACCAGTTAGGCTCCCTTTTCTTCCAGGCTCTGCCTTTGGAATACAGAATCATATTTGGTTGGGGACACAGAAAGCTTTCACATCAGAAGAGCTTTGAATAGATTGGACTGTTATTTACCCATTCTCTGCTTGAAAATACATGAGGCACAGCCCAGTGAAAACAACTATTGACTAAGCCTCAAAAGAAGATGCACTTGCAAAGTAATCTTATACATGACTCAGAAGTAAGTCCCACAGAACTCAGTGGAGTTACTCCCAGAAAAATAGGTATAGAATTGTTATCTTAAAATTAGTTACAACTAAGCTCCCTTTCACTGCTTTGAATGGGTCTTCATTGTGCTAACTTATGCTAGATGGTAAGTAGTGAATCTTTCAGAAGCATCTTTCATTCTTGTCACCACAACATGAGGAAGCAGGCATCCAGCCCCTTTTTAGGAGTATTTGCTACTCATTATTGGTGCCTACTGGTTTCATTGGAGTCTACCACACTTAAGTGAGTGTAAGTTTTGTACTCAAGAGAGTGCTCTGGGACAAAGCTGCACAGTAACAAGGAACTTTAAGGTGTGATCCTATGCATGTTTAGACAGAAAAACCATCCTACAATTCCCACTGTTCTGCTAGGTAAAGCCGGGGCTTGGTAGGACTTTTTCTGAATAAACATACATAGGTTTATGCCTTCAGGTTTCTATGGTAGACTGCTAGTGGCCATTCTCACACTTTCTGCAGTTACTCTGTGTATGTAGCCATTTCAGAGGCACTGCACAAATGGAACTCGCAAGTGGAGGAGCAGGACCACAAGGGTCCAGTGATTCAAGACCTGTCCATTTGCACCTGCTACATACACTTGTGTGTGGTTAGGCCCTCTTCAGTAACTTCAAGACCTGCCAATCAACACATCCTTTCCAAGAAAGGAAAGGATGCTTCAGTCTGGCTTCCAGAGGCAAGATTTCCATTTCCACCTGATGCCCCCACTGCCCCCCAGGGTTTTCTGTCCAAAAGCCATGCTGCGCAAACCACTGTCTAGACCGAAGAATGGGAACGGTCAACAGATCCCAGCTAAAATTATCACTCCCTGGGGAAGCCCTACTAAACCATTTTCAACCACGGGAAGGGGCGGGCCAAAGGTTACCTCAATAAATAGCCCCATATACAGAAACAGCAAGAGCATGCCAATGTGTATGCCATCTCATCCTCTTCCAATTAGCACTCTATCTACTTAAATGCTTTACCAATTTGTTAATTTTAATGTGTATGTGACCTTTTTCAGTTAAGGAAGCCATAGAGATGTGATGACCCACACAAAATGGAGGCAAGGGAACCAGAAAAAAAATAGAATAAAACCAGTTTCCCTGAAATTTTCCAAAGATTTATGGGAGAAGGAGAGTTAAAATTGCTCTCACCTGAATTAGTTTGTTCTTAGTCTTTCCAGGTCTTCTAAGTTTCTACCTCACACATACTTGGGTTGAAAAGCATATGCATGCATGACCCAATCCTATACCTCTTTAATAGGAAGCAAACTCAACTGGGATGAACTCTCAGGAAAAAAGTGCATCAGATTGCTGCCTCTAAGGTGTACACAAAAACAAAGACCTGAATTGCAAACAGACTCTCATTCTCTTTCCAGAAGAGTGAACAGTCATTCAAATAATTGCACAGTACAGGATTTAGGAATGGCTGCAAAGACAGTGGCTAATCATCCCTCAATGCACATCACCTTCCAAGGAAATTCAAACCTGCTAGATGCAGCTGTGTAGCTTGCTCGGCTTCCTCATTACACTGAAGTGCCTCTTTTGACCTGTTATTTCAGAGGTTACTAATGAGGGGCTCCAACTCCACCTTCTACAACCTGGAGTATTCCAAATATTTGGGGCTACCAAGGCTCCAGCCATGCTGGGTGGGACTGATGGGAAAGTCCAAATCATCTGAGGGCTGGGTAGGAGAAGACTGCTTTAAAAGATTTGGGGAAGAAGCAAAGAGACTTCCCAAATCCAAGCACAAGGTGTCAGCAAAACACCAGGCTAAAAGTGGTCGTCTCCTATCCATATTGGCCTGCTCTTGCTGAAAATTAGGAGCCATTTATAGCTGCCTTGGCCAACCTGGTGCTTTCCCATAAACTGGACTACAACTCGTAGCTGTGGCATCATGGGAGTTGTAGGACAACATATCTGGTAGACGCCGAGTTAAAAAGGCTGATTTAGGGCATACTCCTACGAACAGGGAAAAAATGCCCTACAACTCCCAGCACGCTTCAGCCGACAATGCTGGCGGGGCAGGCTGGAAGTTACAGGATTGTTAACTGCGCCCTTGTAGTATTAGTCTGTCGCATACATTTCTGCGCGAAAAACACAGTCAATAAACTCTTACAAACCATCCCGCCTTCAGCTTTAACCTACATCGCGAAGAGAGGGAGAGGTGCGTGTCTCCGCACCCCCTCGACCCCTCCTGCGCTTCCGCGGCAACTGCTCCCCCTCTTTTCCAGAGACCCAGGTCCTTTTATGGACGCAGCCTCCGGCTCTCCCTGGGAGAGAAGCGCCACGACGCGAGAGACGCCCCATTCCTCCTCGTCTTTCCCCAGTCACGGGCCCAACCTAGACCCCAACGCTACCCCAGTCCCTCCCTGACAGCGGAGCGCTGACTCGCAGCCCGGCCTCCTGCTGGATGCAGCCTGGCGGTCCCGCGCAAAGCTCCATCCCGGCGCATCACCGTCCATGCGCCCTCGCGCCCTTCCGGCCCACAAGGAGCGCTGCGCGAGAAATACTAACATGCTCGCCGCGGGCCACGCGCTCCGCTCGCCCCGCCGCCCGAGGCTCCCGGCGCCGCGCTCGCCCGCTCGCAGTCACACACGCGCACGGCGAGGGCGGCGAGGAAGAAGGACGCCGCGCCGCTCTCTCTTGAAGGCGCCGGCGCCATCTAGCGGCTCGGAAGTCTTTTTCCGGAGAGTCTCTCCGCTCCCACCCTCTCCCCGCTCCCAGCCGTTTAGCGACTGCTGCGCTGCCGTGGAGGCGGCTCCGTTTCAAAAGTTCTGCGGTCCCGCGGTGCTTCGAAGAAAGAGTTGCTCATCGAGCCACGGTGGAGGAACACGCGGAGGAAAGGAAGGGCAGGAAAAGAGGGGACGTGGGTCTGTGTTCGCGAACTGGACTTGAGGAAGCGTGTAGGCACACGACGGGGTGCAAAACGTGCACGCACGCAAGAAGATGGCTGTGCTTCGGGAAGAGGAGAGGAGTGCATATTGTGAATGTGAAGTGTGTGGGCGCAGAATTGAGGAGGAGGAAGGAACTGAAGCGGAGCTATTGATGGTCCACTGCTTGGGCCTCAAAACATCGGAAACCGGGCTGCCTGTGTAAGCAGTGCGGTGTGAGGCAGCATGTATAAACTGTTCTGCTTTGAAAAGAAAGGCATCCGTTCAGCTAAGCACAGTTCGGTGACTTAATACGTATAACTAGTTTAGGTACTGCGTAAATATTTATATTGCTACTGGCACGGAGAGAGATTCTGGCTAAATAAGAAAACAATTCAGGCTGCGATTCTATACGCATTTAACAAACTACTTCTGAATAGGATTGCACTATTCATTCAGTGAATTCAGGATTACACTACTAGGATGGGGGAACACAAGGATAAATCATACAATTTCTTCTTTCTCTTCTCAGTGTACTGAGATTTACTGTGATTCGAGAAAGTATCCCGTTTGTCATTATGCTTAAATAGCTGTATTTTCTCAAATTGTTTAAGATGTACAGAAAACATGCAGATTGTTGTATGTATATGGGGGGGCAAATAATAGATCAGGATCTATTGGAAGTACTCCAGGTGATTTGTGGTAGCTCAGCAAGGCTTTCTGGTACCAGACATTTCAAAAATAGCAAAAATAAGAGGACTTTACCCCAACTCAATTAGGCTACTAAAGGAAACAGTAGCAGATTGATGTGAAAGTTATAGTTCTAGCATCCACTGCCAGAAAACCAAGGGCCATTGGCAGGTTGCGCCCCACGGGAACTTGCTTTCTCTCTCCATGCCAGAAGCAACACACAGCTCAAACGGTCAGTTTCCCTGGTCCCTGGGAGTACAGATAAGCCTGCATTCCCCCCTGCCGCTCAGGATAAAAATTACAGCCTTGCCCCATCCATTAACCTGAGGAGCTTGTTTTGCTTCTCCCTGTCGGAACGCCTCCCTGTGTTGTGTTGCTGTCATGTGCAGCCACTTTAACAGTGACCCTGTGAATGCGTGCCCTCCAAAGGGTCTGGTCCTTGACAGCCCTGCTCATCTCTTACAAACCCAAGGCTGTGGACTCTTTTATGGAATCAAATCATCTCATGTTTGGACTTCCCTTACTTCTCGTGCCTTTGACTTTCCCTAGCACAATTGTCTTCTCCGGCAAGTCTTGCCTTCTCATGATGTGTCCAAAATATGACTGCCTCAGTTTTGTCATTTTTGCTTCAAGGGAAAGTTCCGACTTGATTTGATCAAGGATTCACTTGTTTGTCTTTCTGTGGGTTGGCGGGTATTTGCAAAACTTTCCTCCAGCACCATGACTGCAGCACATCAACTTTCTTCCTGTCAACTTTTTTCACAGTATTGGTTTTGCCCCCAGACATAGTGATTAGTAATACAGTAGTGTGGTTGTTCACGGCCTAAGAATGTGAAAGTAACAGTAAGGTGTGAGGTGTGTGCATAAGGATAGAGAGTGGTTTGCAGAGGTAGTTATGGTCAGTAGTCTCTAACACATGGGCTCTCAACATGACACCAACACAAAGGACCCCCAGTAGTGACCACAGGTACCCATTTTAATATCCCCCCATTTTTAATATACATACACAGACATGTTTGAAATGCATACAACAGTGTAGCAACTATACCTTGGCTTCAAGAAAAACAGACCAAATATCCAAATAAGCATCTGCCTGAAGTTAGCATCTCTATGTCACCTACTCATAAATTCAAAGCACTGTAAAGGTCCTTAATACCTTGCATTATGACAAGGGTGTGTTTATCCTTCTCGTGCAGTATATCTGTCTTTTCACTTTCCGAAGGGCACAGAGGATTCATTTCTCCTTCTATTTGTTAATTTCCATGGAGCAGGTTAATAAATTTAATTGGCATGTACATCAGTAAATATTAAGGAGCGCTCCAGTACAGAATTTGTCTGTGTAAAAACCTTCTCCCAAAAGGAAACAACTACTGGACATTGCCAAGACATATATTTACAAGAAGCATTTCCTGTACTGTACCACCATCAATTAGCTGAATCAAACAATCCCAAAACTCAAAGTGTCTAGACAGTCATCTGAGTGGGATGGTGTAACTTAGTGTCCTGCAGCAGTACATGGTTAGACCTTCTAGCTCCTTCCAGCTCTATTCTATGATTTTACATTAAAGGGCAATGCATTATCCAATGGACATGAAAGAACATTTCACTGAATAAGACAAAAGCTAAGATCCATAGCCGGGCCGAGGAGATATCAAAGGGACAACCCACTGATTAGGCATTTGTGCTGGTGCCTGCAGCATTTTCTAAAATTGCTAAATGTGTCCATGTTTCCAAAAAAGTTTGAGTCTCTGCTTTAAGAGATACATCAGATGCAAATACTGACCCATAGTCTTCACACATTTGCAGTAACAAATTGTTGTTACTGAATAGCAGTAACAACTGCTGCTGAGTGCATCCTGTACAGAGATGATCTAAGACTGACAATTTGAAATAATGCTTCCTTGGACCTTTGACTGTTGGCCCTTCGGAGTCTGACTATGGCATGGCATGGCAGTGCCACTCTCATCTGGAAATGGGAAAGAACAGCATAATCCATCACAGAGTCTGTTTTGTGGTATTAGCTCTACAGCGGGCTTCCTTACCAGACAAAAAGTTGAAATTTGGCATGCATTCAACCCAAGACATCCTCTTCACTACTAGTAAAATTTGAAAACAGATGTATGACTCCCGCTTGAAACACAAAGCCTACACATAATAATTACCAGTCCTCTTGGAGTACACTCGCACACAGGAACAACAGCCAAGAATGTATGCCGTTAACAGTTTATGTAAACACGCACACAAATAGAGAGATGCTCACATGTGTTGATAGTTTTAGTGCAGATTGTTGGCGCACTGCAGGGGGGCCTTTTTTAAGGCTGTCCCTCTCAAACAATTTGTATATCTTGGGAGTAGAATATATCTTTCAGGTAGATGTCAGAAGGATGCTTCTGCAGGTAGTCTGCGTGTGTCCATGCACGCATTTGCACGTTGAGAGGAAGATACTATGATGAAATTTTATGCCAGAGGGTTGGGATGGAATATGGAGTACATGCTTTGTATAGATGCCTTTTTTACAATTACAAAACAAGCACATCTATCCCCATCTACCTATTCATCTTGCAGCACATGTATGGACACAAGATGTTACTCTAGGCAGAGTACCTGTCATTCTAGGCTGACTTTTTCTCACATTGGAAGCCTTCCCAGCCAGTGTAACACTGGCACATGAATTCTTTGGCCATCTTAAGTTGCTCCTCCGTTGACATCTGGCCTCTCACAGTGAAGTGTGGCTTCAAGGGATGCCTCTTAATGGAAAAGCTGTCAGGACTGAGATGGAGAAAAGCTTCCCGGTGGCTCTCTTGCCTCACACAGCGTCCATTCATTGAGCACATGATCTGGCTGCACAGCCTGCTGCTGCTGGTCACATTTACAATGTACGGCCCTAGAAGAGTGTCCATATACGTCTTCAAGTGCAGACAGGCTTCCTGAAAGGGCAAGTCCAGAAAAAGGTGAGCTTGGAGGGCAAAATACTAGTCTAGTCTACAACTGTGCTCCTTCAAGTTATATATACATCTGCCTTTGCATGATCAAGCCTATATTAGCATGAATGGGAGGGTTCCTATTCCCACAGCTGGATGCCAAGCCCGGCTCCGGTGCCCTAAAGGCCATTTTGCAATGCAAAATTCATACCAGTGCAAAGGAAACTGGCTGGACCAATGATGTCAAAGGTAGGCCACTACCTAGATTAGCTGTTCCATCCCTATCCACAGCCTAATTCAACCTATTCATTTGTGAATAAACAAAGTTTCTAGTGCAGACTTTTCTGATGGCAAGCTAAGCCTTCTAACGTTGGTTTGAGTGCCCTGCCATTTGCAAAAGGGGAAGAAGAAAAGATGGCAGGGGAGCTACATTATTTATGTGTAGTTTTGTATTATTATTTATTTAAATGCCACTGTTTTTCCTCCTGCAAGGAACCCAAGGAAGCTTACATGGTTCTCCACCTCTCCATTCTCTCTTCATGATTACCCTGCAAGGTAGGTTAGGCCAAGAGTTGGTCACCCAGCGAGCCAAGGGAGGACTAGAATGTGGGTCTTCCAATCACACTGAGACTCCCTCTGTCTCTTAAAGGGCTTTGCAAGACTGGGGACCTCATAAGCCTTCACTGTGTTCATGGGGAATGATGGGAATTGCAGTCTAACACATCTGAAAGGAATCGGGGGAAGGCTACTAAAAGCATATCCATTCATATGGATGAGGCTGTTACCACACCATATGCCAGGAAGCCAAGCTGTGAACAGACTCTCAGGAGGTCTGCTCAATTTGAGGTTATCAACCATACCCTGCAACCACATTTCAATTAAATATCCACACAGTTACCCAATCCCAGCTCCTGACTGCACCCATCTGCACTGTCCTTAACACTAGACCTATTTAGTCTAGTCCCATTTCTGGTCCCATAGTCTAGTTTAGTGTGTCCCACCGTTCCTGCAGGACCCCAGGGTGACATAGAAAACTACACCCCAATTCTCACAACAACCCTGTAAGGTAGTTCAGGGAGAAAAACAGTTGACTGTTGCAAGACAAGCTAGTAAGCTTCATTTTGTGATGGAGGTATGAACAGACAACCTGCTTCATATTCCCTGTAGGGCAGAGATGTTTGCCCCAGCCACTAGGCAACTATAGCTATGATTTTAAATAAATTGTATGTATGATCTTAACTGCATCTAGTCACAGGAGTGTCAAACGTTATGGTTATGGATTTTATTTATGCTTTATTCTTGCGAATATTGTCAATGTATGGTTTGAAAATTCTTGTAAAGGCTTTTGGCTACATGCATAAAGTTTGACCAGTATAAGAATGGAGACGGGAACCTAGGACTTGCTGCTATTGGTTCAACGTCCTCACGACATGGGCTTCTCACTGCCAATCCCATTCTCTGTACCACTCACCTGTGAAGCACTGGAGTTTGTACTTCCCCACAGGATGACTCCAGCAGTACCCTGAGAAGCACTCTCACCGATGGTGTGGACCAGGTCCTCCTGCAGGACAAGTCGCAGAAAAAAGAAGGTTAGAGCACCAGTGAACTTCTCTTCCATATCTAGGCTTGAGTGCCTGTTCTTCATCCTAATGAGGGCATTTAGAGCAGGCTCCCCCAACCTGTTCAGGTTCCTTTCTGCCACTCTTCTACAGCCAAACGTCTCAGCATTTTTCACCAACCGTTCCATCCTCTTTTCCCTGGTGTCCTGCTCGTAACACATGTCAGTCCATTAGTTTTATGTTCTGTAAAGCACCTTCTTCCTTACTGGCATAATTAAGAATAATTAATGGCATAAATTAATATTCATAGCAATATGGTTTTGATTTGGGCTTTTCCACTAGCAAAAAATTTGGGAAAACAGGGATAGTTTTAGATTTTTTCCGGTAAACTTACCTACAATATAGGTTTTGCTACATTCAGAACACTTCCCTAACTGAGATATAGAGTCTTGTCAATGTTGGAGACGATAAAGCATGGATCCTCAAACTACAGCCCACGGGACGGATCCGGCCCCCCACGGCCATCCATCCGGCCTGTGCCACTGTTCGCTGCGCGCGCGCTGCATGGGCGGGGAGGTGGTGGCTTGCTCACTCGGAGATGGTTTTGGACTCACTTTGGACTCACTGGCACCTCACCGGCCCGCGCCCCCAGGCACCCCCACCTCACCGGCCTGCAACAGTCACCACAGCCTTTCAACTGGCCCCCTATTGAAAAAGTTTGAGGACGGCTATCATAAAGTATAACTTACATTAGAATGGATGGCAAACGCTGAAAAATTGCAGTTATTGATCTTTACATGTTGGGGTAATGTTATTTCCAAAAAGAAATATTAGAAAATATCAATTGCTTGTTATCTTTAAAACTATTGATGCTTAGTTAATCAATTAACGCAAACTGAAACCAAGACTCAAAGTACACTGACCATGAAGTATGTTCCACTGAAATCCACTGGTCTTACTTTCATTTGATGTTTTCCAGTTAAATACTCACTGGAAAAGACTTCACAAATGCTGCACTGGCAATAGGCTTACCTGTGTGAGGAAGTCCTCTGTGAACTCATACACCATAGAAGTATATGGCAAGACTGGGGTGCTGCCAGTCCCTGTCCGGTTCACCATCCTAAATGCCTCTTGGAGCCGATGACGCACAAACTCAAGAGTTCTGTTGAAGAATCTGACCTTTTGGGGGAGATAAATACTTGGATAAAAGGCCGTGCTCTGGTTCCAGAGCCACTGCAATTCCTCATTTCTCTGCTTCTCAATCTCTGGACAGTCTCCTGTGTAATTGGCAAGGTTGTAGTTGTAGTTATAGCAGGCAGGGAAGCCATAGAAGCCCCAGAAACCTTTTGGTCTCAGGCCTTTGCCAAGGGCTAGAGTCTTCTCCATGAATTCCCGACTACTTCGTTCAAATTCTAGGTGGGCTTCCATGGCCACCATATCCGCAGGCCAGTCAGGGTGCTGCTCCTTAACTAGCTCTAAAGATTTATTCTGATAGATTTCCATGGACCCCCAGTTCCGAACCCACAAAGGCCGCCAGCTCTCCCAGTCCACAATTGCCAACCCTTTGAAGTCTTTTTCCCAAATGGATATTTCAATGTCTTGCTGAGCCTTCCAGAGATGTTCTTTTAGGCTGGCATTTTGGGGGATACCCCCATGGACTGCAGTTCCATCCTCAGTGTAGTGTGGATAATAACCTAACCTGTTGCCATAGAAAAGGGTGATATCCTTCCCCATGAAGGTTTCTTTCTGGTTGGAGATCACATAGAAAGTCTCTAAGTCAAGGGAAACATTGTATTTCTCTTCACATTCCTCGCTGGGAGCATTCCAGATGGCGACAAATGGCCGATCCGATATTACAGGGTCTCCTCCAGCCATTCTGTGGTACCAAGTCATTGTGAAACCATTCAGTAAGCAGGTCCATATTGTCATGTATGTCAGAATAAGCATGATTTTGAAACACGTTTTCCAAGATACCAGGAAAGGGCTCCAGTCTTGTTTTCCACTTCAACGATGCCAACTTCTGGATGACTTGTGCAAACGGAATACTGTACCTGCTTCTGTAGATGGGGAAGTGAATTTCAACAGAAGGGCACAGGAGCTCTCAGAGTTGGCAGTTTTCTTCCTTACCCCACCTCTAAGATGAGGAAGATGGAAAAGGGAATCTCAGAATCTTGCTAGATGATTCTTTGATATCCCTCTCACATTTCCAGATTCTTCTAGAGAGGTATGTTAATTAACAAACAGATACCAGAGTCCTGCGCTCTTCTGTAATGCAATGTTGATTTCACTTACCACTGACCTTTGCTCTTTGCTTTTCCAGTGGCATTGGCAGACATTTGGGTCCAGCTCATGGTTGCCAGGATGAGCAGCAATATTCTTATCCAAAACAAGCTTGGGAGTGCTTTTCTCTCTCTCTCCCAGGTGGAGAAATTTTTTCCTCTTACAAAAAAGCACAGAGTCACTCTGCAGCCCAAAGGTCTGATCAGTGTATGTAAGCAGACAAGATCCCTCTGAACACAGGTTAAAACTTGATTTCTATGGGGAAAATGGGAAAGGGCGAGAATGAGAATGTAGAGGCAAACAGGAATCAAATAAGCACACCATCATCCACAAGGAACATCTGTAAAGAAATTGTCAATGCCTATCATTTACTGCCATGAGGAGGATGCCACCGGCAACAAAGTGCAAAGTGGCGGCTGGGCTTGGGATTCATGCACACTAGAGCTAGGAAGGAGGAAGAGGTGGGCAAATGAAGTAGCAGAGCTGCCTCTCCCTCAGTGCTCACATTGCAGCTGCCACAGGCACTCCTGCCCCCTGTAACTCTGACCTTCCCCTGCCACTATTGGCACACTAATTCTGCCTGAACCTTTGTTCATATAAAGCGTACACCACAAACTGACACAGCACACTTCCAAGAGAAGTCAGGAAAGGCCTCTCCGATAAAGGAAACTCCATGTTAGAGCCAAGAGGGAGCTTCCAGGTTTGCACAGGTTGACTTCTGTTCCGGCCGTGGGACTTCTCCCTGCCCCAACACAACCCCAAAGTTGTTGCAGAAGGCCCTGAAACTGTGAGTGCTGGGGAATGGGGAATCTATTTGAGCAGTGGTTTCAGATCCTCTGGCAGGCAGCACTGGAGGCAACCCAAGATTTTTGTTACAGACTCCAAAATCCAGAAAGCTCAAATGTTGCGAACTCCCCCTTTTCCACCCCCACTGGAACTGCCAACAAAGAGGCATAAGTTTTGTATCATTTCCCACAAATTTTGGACATTTGCTGATTGTTTGCAGAAAGCAGTGTTAAAGTGGGAAAATGGTGAACAGGAAACGGACAAGCAAGTGGGGAGCAAAATGTATGTAGGAACAGTTTATAAGGAAAGACATAAAGATATGTATGTTGAAGTATTCTCACCTGATTCCTGGAAACTTACGCTTTCTGATCTTTTAGGAGGCATTCAATCCAATCATCTCTCTGGGTACAATCAATAGAGAATGTATCTTATTCTCATTCTGTCTTCTGCGTCTCATATAATTGAGGGAAAGGGAACTTGTGGTTCTCCTTAAGTTGTACTACAGCTCTCAACATTCCTGGCCTTGGCCACGCCGGCTGGCATAGATGGGAATCGGCATCCAACCATATCTGGAGGGCCATAGGCTCCCAACCCATGATTTAATCCATTCTGTAAAACCGCTCTCCCCTCTTTGGTGCTTGTGGCGTTCTTTTAACCATCACAAGACCAAGTCACATGAGACCATTCAACTCCTCCCCTATGAGTATGCCAATGATTAGCAATCGCTGCCTATTCACCGACACCTAAGAACTGGGCCTACATGACTGGAAGACCCCGTGTTCCTATGATTAACACTCCTACAGCAGAAGATGTAGCCTGTGAGGATGCACACTTAGATAAGAAACATTCTAGGAAACTGTGGCTTGGCTGTCAAGAGGATTTGATGTTTGTGGAGCAATAAATTCTGGAAGAGTGGAAGCAAAGCCAACAAAAAGATCATGTGGAAATTTAAGAGTGTACTACATCAGTTGCAACAGAAGAGAATCACAATGACGCTTTTGCTTGCCTGCCACTGCAGATCCACATGACGGTGGTCACTTTGTATGCCAGCCTTGCCCAAGCTGGTACCTACCCCCCAGGTGTTCGGCTGTTACTCCCCTCTGCCCAGCCCTGGCAGTTGGTGAGGCTACCTGGGGATGCTGTAAGTTGCAGCCCAAGCTGCAAAGGACCAAGTTGGGAAGGCTGTTGTGTGCCTTTGCACAGAAAATCCACATTCTGAAATCAAGGAGCTTGCTTATTGGGCAGTACAGAAATGAAAGACCTAAGTAATGTGTGGGTGCAGTTAAGTTACATGCACACGATGCTTTACACAGTATGTAACAATAAATCATATCCTGGCCCCAAGAAGCTGAGCAACGAAGGATGAGGAAGGGCAAAGATCATGTATATGCTATGAATAATTAGATGTGTGCTTATGAATCAGCTTGCCCTGAACCATGTACTGAAGTCACCAGCAGACGTTGGCTACGCTAATAGTAGTAGTAGAAGTAGTAGTAGTAATTTATTTCATTGCTATGCCGCCTGCAGCTGAAGCTCTCTAGGCGGTTTACAACAAAGAATTTCAGGCGGGGGTGGGGGTGAGATGGCGAGCTCTTAATGCCGGGAACTGAACCCCGTAGCAGGCATACACATGAAAGGGTGCGACTGCACTGCTACGTTATTCCCCCTCCGCGCTGCACGCAGCACGAGCGCTCTTGCAGAATTCTCCGCTCCTTGGCAATGGTTCAGGCCCGCCGGGAACTGTCTGGCCCGGCAGCCTTGCCTGACACCAACGCGGTGGGCTCCCACGAAGGGGCGGAAGCGGAGCGAGCCACCGCGGCACAAAAGCTCCCCCCCACGGCCAGAAAAAGCTCAAACGCAAACAGCAACTCCCCTCCGCCGGAACGACTCACCGGCTCCTGGAGAAGCGGAATATTCCCAGCCCGCCCCTTTCCCCAACTTTCGGCCAATGGGGACGCCACTTCCAGTCCGAGCAGGCTGAGGCGCATGGACGTCCGCCAGTTCTCGCATTCTAAGGAGCAGAAGGATGGGGTGAGCGATTTGAGGGCGGACAGTGGAAAGTTATCAGCGCAGGCTCATCACATCGGCCGGGTGGGGTCAGGAAAAAGGGACTCCGGGGCGGGAGGTGCGGCGCCTAAGAGCAGGAAGTCCCCCTTAGGCGCGTTTCTCAAGCTTCCCGCCCAAGTGGCGGAGGCATACAAACGCTTGTAGACCTGTACGTGCATCGTGACAGCAGCTCGGGGCTGCTCTGTCGCCGGCTAGGCGCGCACAGATCCAACTATGTAATAATAATAATAATAATATAATGATAATTTCCTTTCCCCTGGTGGCGACGGGTGTCCTTCCCTGCCGGCGCTGTCATCATGTAAGGGAATGACGCTGCATCCAAACCACAGCTAACCAAGCATCACGCATTCCTTCGATACACGTGCAAACGTTCTTATTGCAGCCCCACGACCTGGGTGGGGTGCATAGTTCGCATCGGGCATCCAGTGTGGGTTTAGGAGGACGAGAGTAGAGGGAGGTCGAGTTCTCCAGGGGTGCACGATCCTTTTAGGGACCGGGGCCACGTGGGCGCATTGAGCGGCAGAGGGCAGCACGGATCGTCAGCGCATTCCTGCCTCCAGAGTTTGCAGCTCATGAGAAAAGCAGCTGGCTAGGAACCCGAAGGGGGGTGAAGAACAAATCCCTCTTTCCTCCGGAGTCTGGTTTCTATTATGCAGCCAGCCCCGCTTGCTCGGGCTGAGAGGAGGAGGGGAGGGAGATTCTGCGAAAGGAAACAATTAAGCTCTCCAGCTTCTGGAGACAGACGCGGGGCGCTGCTGCAGATCGTGGCGCAGGGTTAACTCTTCGCTCTCCGGAAGGGACACGCGGCCTGCAGGAGGGCCCTGGCCGAAGCAGGGCGAGCAGCAACCTCCCTGCGAGGCCCATCTTGCTCTAGTGCGTGTCTGGGTGAAAGCAACGGTGCTTAGCCGTGGTTGCCTCGTGGGCGCTTGGATGTGGTGCTGGCACAAGGGGGGTCTTGCTGGCGGAGACTGAAACGCGAGCACACTGAAGCTGGCCAATGCGGCGTTCTGGGAAGCGGAACTACAAAACGGTGCCCTCAGGTCCTAGCTAGGGTTCAGCTGGATTTAATTGGTTTCGTTTTCTGCCAACGGAGCTCCTGTGCTGCTTCCTTCCTCCTCATTCCTCGACCTCTCTCTTGCACTTGTTCCTTTCCCGTTTATTATGTAGTTGTTATGACCCCTGGTAGTGAAAGAGGGGTTGCATCTTGAATCCAAGCATTAAGCAAGGAATGGTTCGTAACGTCACGTAAGATGCATTCCCGCGCACGTTTAGGCCTGGAAGGGGCAGCACAAGCCCTGCATTGCAACCGAAGGAAAGCGAGTTGTACATTATTTTTCTGCCTTGATTTGCATAGGATTTCACCTTAGGCATCGTTTGAGCCAGGCTTCCTTGCAGAAATGTTATCAGCTTAGGGCTTAGCTTTCAGTCATGCAAAATACTGTCCCTCTGAACATGTGCAGAGCGACCCCTCACTACAGCCTAGCATTTAATCTCTAATATTGAACTTCTGGAGGAGGGCTAAGGAGTAGATCTGTGGTTTGGGGCTGCTCCTGGATCCATCTCTGTTGCTGGTGACACAGGTGACCTCAGTGGCCCAAAGTGCTCATTCTCACCTTGGGCTGGCATGCCAGCTGTGGTCCCTGGGTAGGGATAACCTTGCCACGGTGGTTCATGCATGGGGACTTCACGAATAGACTACTGTAATGTGTTCTCAGTGGGGCTGACTTTGAGCCTGGCTTAGAAGTAGCAGCTATTGGTGTAAAAAAAATTGCTCTGGCTGCTATACAAAACCCTAAAGAACTTGAGACCAGGATATCAAACAGATTATCCTTCTTTAGGTATACCCAGCTGATTTTTAATATCCTCAAAGGAGGCCTTGCTGATGATTCCGACCTTAACGGAATGTTCCTTGCAATGCCTGGACGTGGCCCTTACTGGAACAGGCACCCACACTTCGTATAGTTTGGAAGGCAGAAAATGTGGCATCTTTCACACATCTTGAAAACACATCCGATCAAACAGGCTTTCTCTCCAGTTCACTGCTCTGGATGATAATGATTAGAATTGTTTTCCAATTTTAATATTGTAATATTTTAAACTGTGTTTAAATGTGCTTTTAATATTTGCACATACAGTGCTTAACAATACGATTATCCCAAGTGCCATAGAACTATCACGGATAACCATCAGAAGCCAGAACTTTCTAAATGATTAGGTAGCTCGCTATTTTTTAATTTAATTTAATTTTTAATTTACACATTTATATCCCATCCTTTCTGATGAACGGCTCAGGACAGCTTAAAACAATTTAAAATATTACAACAATACAATGATAAAACAGTAGATATTAAATCAATATAAAACAACACTTCCTAAGACAAGGAAGGAAGGAAGGAAGGAAGGAAGGAGAAAAAGAGTAGAAAATGTGACTCTGGAAAAACCATTTTCTCAGTTGAAAGGTATTCTGCCCATGTTCAGACACTTTGCCATAGCTCCTTAAAAGTATTTAGTGCACATTGCTGAAGGCACATAAGTTGGTAACTTTTTAGCCACTGCCAGTTTCTCCACCTCAATGGATTATTAGCAAAATGGAAGAGCTAACGCAAGCCAACTAATTTGTGCCCAGTTGTATCAGTGCTGTAACAGCTGACCTCAATTACCAGAATTAATCCAGCACTGCAAATTGAAGTTCTTTTTGTCCAGCTTCCTAAAACATGTCAGATTCAGTTTGTGGAATGCTACCCAAACTGGACCATGAAGCCAGACAGTAAACCTCTATCCACCCTAGTAACACATGATTCCACTCATATACAGCAGCAATCTTTTTGCTATTCATTTCTTGTAACTAGAAGGACTTCTATTACTTTAACAGCTACAAAATCAGAGGAAATTAGGCCGAATTTGCATGCAAAAAAGTGTCTGCTGTATCAAAAAAGTGTTGAGGGGGGGGAGTTGTCAAACCCAATCTTCCCAGACTTAACTGACTTTTTATACTCAGCTTTACTGTATTCCTCCTAACCTTTTCTTATTTTTACCAAACTGTTGTCCAGATCTATAGCTAAGACAGAACGATTTGGGCTCATCTTCTGCTCTTTTCAGAGAAACAGAAGTTCTGGGACAGCATTACAAGGCCATGTTCCTTTTGAGGGGAAAATTCCTGGGGCGTAAGATCAACTTTGCTTTCATTTAACGTATTTATTTTGGCATAAGCTTTTGTATAGAGAGATGTATCTGATGAAAGGGTCTGGCCCATGAAATTCTCTGCTGTGACCTATTTGCTAAACTTTAAGGCACTGCATGATTAGTTGTTGCATTTGTAGCAACAGATTAATGTCACCTCCCTGCTGGGGATTAGATAGTTGTTTGTTTGTTTGCTTGTTTTCAAATGCGCAGGTGAAGCTGGGGCAGTGGGTGCCAGCCTCAAAGCAGCTACTGTCCAAAAAGCAGTAGCAGCAGATTGCTGGATCTGAAGGATCCCTAAGGGCCCTGTATGTAAACAGGTGGAAGTGTGTAACATATTCCAGAAATTTGGACATGTCTCTGCAAATGCATGTACCCTTACCATTCCCCCCGTGTTGTTTCTTCTTGCCTAACCTGGAGAGCTTCAGAAGAGGGATATTTCTCATTGCTCTTAAATACTTCACCATTTCCAATGCATCACAATATGCTGTAACCAGTTTGGCCTTTTTTTGCAATACTGCAACAAGTTCCTTTCCGGTGATGATAGTGCATTATCCTGGCTGCACCTTCTAGGTAGGGAACAATTGGATTGCTTCAATAGCTGGTCACATCCATTTAAAGAAAGCTGTGCATGTAGACACCAGTGAAGAGGGCAGCCTTTGGAGAATCTGAATGGGGGATGTGAAGGTGCAAAGCAGGAAGGCCCTGCCATTAAATATTGTGACATAAAGACTATCCATCAAGAAAAGTCTGGTGGGGGAAAATATCTGCAGAACTGTGTCTCCTGAGGTTAATTCCCTCTCCCGTTTGATCCTCTAAGCTCAATGCCATTCCCTGTTGCATTTGAGCTCCCAGTGCATGGGCAGATGGCACGACTCCTTCAACAACAGTGATAGATGTGGCACTTGTGCCATCACACGATGTTGCCCTCAGAGTTCTGGAAATGTATCCATGAAACAACAGTGTAAATTTGCCGGACTGTGTGCAAACTGCACAACAAATGAGAAATGAATGTGTGTTTCTTGCACAAAGGAAAAATAATCTGTGCACCCTGGTTATGCAGAAAGGACCTCAAGACTGTGCCAACACAAGTCACCAGTAGATGTCTCCATCAATCTAGATTGTATGATTAGGAACAGCTCTATTAGGTAGGTATAATGAAACTTTAGGGAAAGCGATCATCATTGGATTTATTAGAACAATGTTATGTAAATTCTATGACATTCCACAAATGAAGCTGTATAATTTCTGTTGTGGGAGCCCTTAAAAGCTCTAAACATGTATTACCTCCTGTCCCAGTTTCTAGAGCTATCATTTAATAGAATACCTTAGAAGTTTCATAGAAAGGAAAGTGCCAAGAGGAACAGTTTATGCTGTCTCTGTTTGCTTTGCCTTTATGGTGTGTAGTTCCACGGAGGAGACTCGATAGTGCAACAAATTTGTTCTGCTCTGAACAGTAATGAAGCACTTTGGCAACAGGGCAGCAACTGTCCATTTGGTGTTGATCAAGAAGATACTCATTTTTTTCCTACACTTGAGCAACTGTCAGGAAACCCAACAAAGAGTTAACATTATTTGTGGTTCCTATCCTGGCATACAATGAAAATCCAATACCGCCACCTTTAGAAGCGACCTATAATTATTCTTGATAGGGATTTTGTCTGCCAAAGTTCTCCTGGAACACTGAATCAGGCACAGTTTTGCTCCCTAAATTTGCCAGATGTTGCTAGACCCAAATGCTAGCAATGATTTCTGGCCCATCCACACAGATAAGTCCCTGATAT